GTCAATGGTTTCACGGAATCTTTTACTTCAAAAAATTTTTCGTCTATTTTCCTGCTTAAGTTGTTCATTTGCATTTGCATTTCCATTTTGTCTTGAAAACTTCGTTGAAACATTTCGCTAATCTCTCGAAAGTCGTGAGAAGCAATCTTTCTGTATTCACATAATTCAGTTTCATGTTTAATCTTGTCTCGTTTGTTTATTTCCAGACCACAACGTTCATTAGAACACAACACTGGAGCAAAGCCACAATTTTCAACATGTCTTTCAAGATCTTCAACATTTATAAATTCAGGACAACCATGACTGGCGTAGTCGCAGTTGATCTTTAACTTTGAAATCATATTATTTATAACACGCGCTGGATGAAGCGTAGCTACAGTTAAATCATCTTGACATTGAGGACATCTTTGTGCATTAACTCGTAGATGTTCTTCAATACATTCACGACAAAAACTGTGTTGATTATGGCACATTCTGGCATCTTTCATGACATTCAGACAAATTGAACAGTAAAAATTTTCATCAACAACAGTCTTAAATCTCGATTCTTCATATCCACTTTCGTAAACATTAGGACGACAAGCCATTTCATACGTCTTCCTATACAATTTAATGCCAAATTAATACAGGAGTTGACGAAATTTTGTTTATCACTAAAAGTTCAAGCTAAAAGATAGGTTAAAATTTTCAATCGACGTTTGATAAACACGGAAGCTGAAAGCAAAGCAAAACAACGCCTAGTTTTATATTTTAACATACTTATGTTAAGCAAAACAAAGACAAAAGATAAAACAAAATAATGCAATGAAGCACATCAACAAAAAACACAACTGAGGTCAAAGTTTCTAAGGTCAAAGAAGTGGAGCTTTAGTCAATCACATAAGGCAGTTCGTTCTCGGTGAAAAACATCCTAATTAAAGGTTATTTGTTGTAGTAAAATTACGTCTTTTCTTATAATGCAGATTTAACGTTAATCCAAGACGATTGTTACGTTTTCAGTTCAAAACTACATTTGTTTAGTCTGAATCACTGGTTGAAATTCTGAAACTCGTTTGTTTTGGGTGGCATCCTAAGTTCATTGCATTTGTTTATTTGATTGTCAATATTTCAAATCATTTTAGATACGATGATCATATATTTACAACACAAGGAAACATGTTTCAAGACACAAGTAAAACATATTTCGTGACTAAAACACCACACGAGTACATACGAGTACATACGAGTAACATACGAGTACATACGAGTACATACGAGTAACATACGAGTACATACGAGTACATACGAGTAACATACGAGTACATACGAGTAACATACAAGTACATACGAGTAACATACGAGTACATACGAGTGACATACGACTATTTTCTGGTCAAAATACCTTTTCAGTATTTAAATCCATCGAATGGTTGCCCCAAAGTCCACACAAATACAAGGAAAAATAAACGCAAATATCAATGTATTGAAGAAATTGTGTTGTTTATCATTTGTTGACTAGAAAATAGTCGTATGTCACTCGTATGTACTCGTATACTCGTATGTACTTATGTTACTCATACTCGTATATATCGTGTGGTGTTTTAGTCACGATCTTATGAAAACGACTTGATTATGACCGCGCTAAATTTGAGAATTTAAGCGAGCAATGTTTTGAAATATTTGTTACTTCACTTCAAATTTTGAATATCGGTACGGTGGCTCACAAGGGCCACCACATAAAAAAAAATATTAATGCACACACAAAATAAAAATACACATACAAAATAAAATACACACACAAAATAAAAATACGCATACAAAATAAAAATACACACACAAAATAAAAATACACACACAAAATAAAAATACACACACAAAATATGATTGCGGGCGCTTGCAGTGTCGGCTTACTCGGAATTGCTCGTAATTGATCGTTTTTGTTTTCAAAGTTCTAATGGTTCCAACTTCCAGAGTACATAATAAAATTCATTGATTTCACTGTGATCAATTATTTCAAAGTTGCTTACGATATTGCTCCCCGTATTCTGGTTAAAATTAAGGTTAATGTTGTCCTGGTTGCGGCAACAATTCCGGCTCAGTCTCGGAATCAAACACGTACTGTGATGATTGTTTATCAGAGGAAAACATTACACGCTTGATAACAGGTTATTTCAATCGTGGTTATCCGTATGGGGCAATCGTCAGACTTTTGCAAACCTCCGGTATTCTGATGTCTATACGGACGTTGAAGCGCCGCTTCAGATCTTTGGACTTAAGACGAAAAGGACAAGTCGTTGATGAACAAAATTTAAGAAATGTTATAGAGTATATAAAAGCCTAGGAGCAAACGCTTGCTGGCACCTCGACGGTAAGATTACATTAATGTAGTTTCTATGAATTTTTAATCAAACTTATAGATAATGGGGAACAGTTACCCAAACCTAGCTTTTTTGTAGCACATTATTGAGTGCAAATGTCTAACAAACTCTTCCCTTTTTAAGGATATGACAAACTCAAACCATATGGGTTTGCAGTACATGGTGCTGTTTGTGGTTACAGCAGAAGAATTCTGTGGCTTGAGGTTGTCAGATCAAACAAAATCCAAATGTAATTGCAGAAATATTTCTTAATGCTGTTAAGGAGTTTGGAGGCTGCACATTGTGGGACAGAAAATGTTTTATTGTCTGCAATGCAATGCTACCTGAGAGCTGATGGAGATGATGAATGGGCAGGGAGAAAGCTCATGTTTATGGATCCTCTCTTTCAAATCAAAGAATTGAAGCATGGTGGTCTTTCCTGAGACGAACTAGGTCAGGCTGGTGGATTGACTTTTTCCAAGATATGGCACAAAAAGGTTTGTTAGAGTTGGGTAATACCTACCACATGGAGACACTGTGGGTTTTAACATGTTATTTCAAAAGATTTAACAAAAGTAAAAGATCACTGAAATAGCCACTACATTTGTAGGTGCAACATGAAACCGTATCAGGAGTTCCAGACATTTTGTTCTTTCTGCCAGAATACTATGGGGTGAAAACTGCCTAATAGAGATTTCTGCTGATAAGCTGAGTGAAATGGAAGAGAGAATTGACCCATGCATTTGTGAGGACATTTACAAAGAATATTTTGATTATGTCTTGGAAAACAAAATTTGGCATGTCCTGAAGACATAAATGAAGGATTTGAAATTTTTCAACATTTAATTAATGTACCACAATGAAGTTAGTGTTAATTATATAGATTATCACACAACATAATGAAAGTTAAATAAAGTAAATGGTTTGAACCCAGGAGTATCGTTACATGTTTGTAGATATAGATCGTCCAGGTTAGTAGAGTCCTGAGAAGGACTGTTATTGTTGATGTTGACTGACATTTCAACAACCTTAGCAATAAGCATCTTCAGAGTCAAATCGAAACGTCAGTCAACATCAACAACAATAGTCCTTCTCAGGACTCTACTAACCTGGACAATCTACATCTACAAACATGAAAAGTTACTATGTAAGAAGTATTTGGCATAATGATACCCATGCCACAAAGATGAAATAGAAATATACTATTGCAAAAAGGTTTTTGCAACCAATTGCAAAGCAAATAAAACTATATTATGAAACATGATTTGTTGTAAATTGTTGAATACCATTATGGTAAAGCGTAGCATTCACACTAAACTTGAAATTTAGTGTTATAAACACGTTATAAGAACTATGAACTAATTGAATATGTACTTGTTATAAAAAACTGCTAAAAAACTTTATGGAATCCCAAAAGAAGGAGAATTTAAAATTCCATCATCCATTTTTTCTTTAAAAGTATCATATTGCACTTCATCCTTTGAACCACCAGGAATAGAGGGAGATAAAGTGTGGTATCACATGTGTTTGATCTTGGACGAACATCTTCCCAAAAGCATAGTGAAGGCATTGGTGTAAAGCCAAGAGGTGGGATGTCATCACTTCCTGTTGCAAAGATTAGTACATCTCCCAAAGTAGCACCACATCGTCCAGCTAAACAGAGAGCAATATACGTGTTGATGTAGCAACTAGCAGTGTTTAATTTCTTCGATTTTTCAACTGCAGAAATAATAATGCATACTTACAAGTTCTAACTTAACATCTTAGTACTACAGGATTTTGTAAATACTGTAAACTAGAAATATAGTCAATGAACTACCTTACATTACCTTCACAATCTTGCAGATAATCCCTCCAATGCATAAGTGCAAGTTCTTGTCGGGGTATTTGTTACTTCTAGGTTCATAGAAACTACATTAATGTAATCTTACCGTCGAGGTGCCAGCAAGCGTTTGCTCCTAGGCTTTTATATACTCTATAACATTTCTTAAATTTTGTTCATCAACGACTTGTCCTTTTCGTCTTAAGTCCAAAGATCTGAAGCGGCGCTTCAACGTCCGTATAGACATCAGAATACCGGAGGTTTGCAAAAGTCTGACGATTGCCCCATACGGATAACCACGATTGAAATAACCTGTTATCAAGCGTGAAATGTTTTCCTCTGATAAACAATCATCACAGTACGTGTTTGATTCCGAGACTGAGCCGGAATTGTTGCCGCAACCAGGACAGCACATTAACCTTAATTTTAACCAGAATACGGGGAGCAATATCGTAAGCAACTTTGAAATAATTGATCACAGTGAAATCAATGAATTTTATTATGTACTCTGGAAGTTGGAACCATTAGAACTTTGAAAACAAAAACGATCAATTACGAGCAATTCCGAGTAAGCCGACACTGCAAGCGCCCGCAATCATATTTTGTGTGTGTATTTTTATTTTGTGTGTGTATTTTTATTTTGTGTGTGTATTTTTATTTTGTATGTGTATTTTTATTTTGTGTGTGTATTTTTATTTTGTGTGTGTATAATGTATTTTGTGTGTATTTTTATTTTGTGTGTATTTTTATTTTGTATGTGTATTTTATTTGTGTGTATTTATTTTATTTTGTGTATAATGTATTTTGCGTGTGTATTTTTATTTTGTGTGTGTATAATGTATTTTGTGTGTGTATTTTTATTTTGTGTGTGTATTAATATTTTTATTTTGTGTGGTGGCCCTTGTGAGCCACCGTATATCGGAGCAAAATTTTCTGCCTATGTTAAAGATATACAGATATATAGAGTTGTTGTGATGGTGAATGGCACCGATAGAAAGCGAGAAGTCCCAAAGAAGGTTGGCAGGCAGAATCAAAGGAATTAAACTACACATTTTGCCCTATTACGGTATAAAATACATCCATGTCGATTGATGAGCAAGAAAATAAATTGAACGATTATATAGCAGATTTTCTACTCAAAGGTAAATTTGTGAACGAAATTGTGTATTATCATTGACTGTTCATGTAATTATTAAGGATAAAAATATTAATAAAATTTGAAATCAGCTGTTGATTTAATTCAAACCTCCCATGTTGTTATTATTTTCAAAACCGTGTTTTGTACCCGAAGAAATTTTGGAGTACACCTAAACTGAGGTGTATATCATCAAGATTATGTGTACTTTGACCTAAAAAAATTTTACATGGTTTTGTCTACAAATAATGCACAATAATTAAGTCGATACATTAAGTGTTGTTATGGATGAAGTAACCAATCATCCGCTGAAGATGTTTGTGATTTTAAGAAGTGTTGTTTTATTTGTTTATAAAACACAGAGTTTTATTTTTTTACTTTTAGATTGCCTTTGTCAAATCTCTCTTGTAAAATCAATAGCTCAGGTAGGATAATTGTCATTTGTGGTTTACCATGCCTCAAAAGCAAGAGTAAAACTGTGTTCATTATCTTTTTTATTAAGTTATCACACAGGAAAGACACCATAGCAAACAGCTATCTCCAAGTAATGGTTAAAATACAGAAATCTAAATAACGATCTGTTGTCATAGTTGCGTTTTTAGCTAAAAGTACACTATAAAGATTATGAAGTAGTTGAAGATATTAAGTCAATAATTAAATTAGTAAAGCCTGCTCCCCAGTCACCCCATAATCCGCGCATACTTGTTCTTGATATCCCAATTGCAAAAATTCTTCTTCATACTTTATGTAAATATCGTAATATCAGGGAACGTACGTATGGATCAAATAGAAAGTTTTATTTATAGATTTTGAAATATGAGCCAGCAAAACTTCTACTACAATCTGTGTCGTTATTTTGCTATGAAGCTTTACAAAAACTTCGCCCGTGAATTGTTCGTGTTGAAAGTATGAGAGCTCCAAAACCTGGGGAAAGGTTTGTCATTCATATTACGTAAAGTCTTGTTCTTATCCAAAACTCACATAGCCACAATCACCCTCACCACCATTATCTTTATCACACATTAACCCTCACCATCATTTTTTATCCCAAACCGTCATCACCGTAATCCCGCAATCACCCTCACCACGTCCTTTATCCACATTACTCATTTTCATTATCCGTTCCTACTTAGAGTGATACCCATGACTGGATCACCGCTGACCAATGATGTTGCGCCCTTGGACAACAATGCTCCGAAGGGCATCATAGTATTAACAGGTGGTAAGGTTAGTGATTTCATTTTAGTGGCTACCTTTTTGATTCCTAGTATGAATTGTGTTTTATTTAAGAAATAAAAGATGTTTACTGTGCTTGCACAGGCTTATGCAAACCGAAGATTCGTTTGGGAGAACTTGAGAGCAGATCAGTGCAAGCCCGAGACCGAAGATCGAGAGTTGCACATGCTCGAAGTTCTTACAAACGTCTTCTAGGTTTGCACAAGTCAGTGTAAACACGGAAAATATCTTTTATTTCTTTATAAAATAACAATATTGCGAAACAGACGAACATTTTAATTTTTCCTCTAAAATGTATTCATGATCTATTTGCAAATTCTCATTGACTGGTTGATTGTTATGATTGATTTGATTGGTAGAGCTTAGACGTGTTTTGCACAGGCTAATGCAAACACAGCTCTAGACCAATCAGCACACGTGTTTCATTGTGTTTATTTTATAATGTTTGATGAAAGACCGCCGTTGTATGACAGAAGTACAAAGACTCTCATACACACGGGAATTCTAAAATTTTAGACACCGTACCTAATCATTGGAGCATATAAGTACTAGACATTTCTTCATACCAACCTACATGGAATTTGAATTTTTGAAATATTTTAGATGACTAACTGCTAGTGATTTGGTCAACTATCTACAAATTAGTAAGGGTAGAGCACAATCATGTGTGCTCTATGGGATTGAGGACCCTCGCATTAGATAAAATTTCACTCACTCGGGCACCGTCTTAGAACAATGCATGGCCAAAGCAAGAAGGGATTACTTATGGTATTTAATTTAAGATGCTGTATTCTTATACAAGTATCTTTAGTTTACAGCTGATGATTGTTTTCAACGAGTATTTGAGATGTGTTCCATGTAAAGGCAGGTTTTAGTTCAAAACCTCTCGAAAGTTATAAGCCAGGGGGACATTGGATTGGTATAACTCACAACCTGTTAATTTTAACACGTTCTATAAATATTTACCAGCAATGTGCGAGGTAGATTACATTGACATGAAAGGTTGAGGATTTTCAAATGATTTTGGAAAGGTTACGTGCCCAACAACCCTCTAAGAAAGGAACATTTTCATTGATGAACAAACAATAATGTCTCGGACTGGTTATCGAAGCACATCATTGTTAGATGATGCAAAAGGCCAAGTTCTACTCTGGTTATGTCAGTTTTAAAAGAACTTCAACAACCTGCTACATTGGATGTTTCAAGTCCAAAGAAAATTGACGTAGATAAGAAGAAAGAAGCATGTGTTAGTACGACAAATACACGACGTACTTTAAAAGTTATTGAACATGGGAAAACACGTATGTTGTTTCATTTTATGTAATACACATGTGTTTGCTTTTAACTTTGTGAGCAATTATTAGTTTTTCCAATTTTTTCGTAAGAGATATTTTAATTTTAACATGAATATATTTACATCATCGAGATGCGTTAGAAACGCGTTAAATTTCATCACCTTGTTAGCTATTCAGAGATAAAATGTAATGTGGAGTTACGACAGTCATTAGTATCCTTTAACCTCATTAATGTTTTCTATTTAGAGGATACTAATAAGGAAGTGAACAAAAAAAAACAAAATCTTGTTAGTATTCTCTATATAGGGAATACAAATGACATTTAGTGAATACCATTGAGCTTTATTTGTATTCTATTGTTTTTACTCCATCTCTGCATTCTCCTTGGGCTTTAAAGCTTACATCAGTTCATGAATTTTAGACACTATGCAATATGGAACATCAAAATACTGGACGCTGATTGGCCCAGTGACTGGCTATGTTCTAATTCTCGATATCTGTAGGTATGACGTCATTACTACGAAAAATAGTTTCTACAATTATTGACTGACGCCATTAAAAGCCGAATTTGAAAAAATCAAATAAAGTGATGTTTACCATAGTTTCTAAAAACAATAAGCGAAAGTTTTTGAACAAAATTGATGCGGAAACACTAAAAAGCGACAAACCCGGTTTCGAACATATTTACAGTATATTCAAACAAGAAGAACTCGAAAAAACCGTTTGACAATTACAAATAAGGGCAGGTTTCGAAATGTTTTACATTGATGAGTGTAAATAATATTTCAGTTTGTTGAGGTGAATGATAAAACAATTATTCAATTCGTTTTTCGCATGATATCAACAATTATTCATACCTCTGTCAACGTTATCCGTCCACAGCTTTGCTTCAGCAGATGACATTGACCTCGGTCTGAATAATTCTAGATATCATGCTCAACTTCATCTAATAACTGTTCATTATTTAAATATTAACTTGCTAAACTGAGGGACATTTTGCTGGTATATTTGTGCGTTATAATTTTTTTTTCCGAGGAATATTAAGTTTCACTGTGTAGCACAAATCACTGTGACTGTCCCATCATCTTATAATGGTTTAAATGACAGAAAAATTACAGTCCATTGAAATTAATAAGGTCAAATGCAGCCAAAACGCAAAACAAAAAAATGAAAGCCAAAATGTACTTTTTTGGACGTACAAAAACCAGGTTACAAACCCTAAACATGGCGACTGTATTATTGATGACGTCACGTTCGCATCAAGAATACAAAGTTTTCAGTTGCAACATAAATATGACAAGTTGCAATAACAATTTGTCACATTTATGTCATTTTAGCCAGTAAATAGCAAGAAACTTATCACGTGCTTTCGTACGAGTATACTCGTCGTAGGTGGTCAAAGTACAGTACACCAACAGCTAATGGTGCAGTTTCCTCATTCTTGTAATTTTACCATGCATATAAAGTATGTCACGTTTTAAATTTTCCTGAGTACAATAATAATGGCAGTACTAACGAAAATTGATATCCAGTTTGGTGTAGTCTTAAGAAGTGGTTGAATGTTGGTGTTATTAGGGTAAACCTACCACTAGTAGGTGCCCCTAGTGCGCATGTGTGAACGCTATTTATAAAACATATTTACGTAGGGTGACTCGCTTTCTAGGATAACCCTTCTGCTGGGGTTACCGTACCTCCATGTAAATAGTCTCTAAGAAATTACTGCTTAAAAGATGTCTTCCAATCGCTGAATCACAAAGAATCGGATTTTCACTTTTACACCCACGTTTTGGTAGTTGTCGTAAAGGAACAGTTTTATTCCTGACAGAAGCTGGTACATGCTGTTTTATTTTTTCACTCAACCTTTAAGAAGTCCTACCTACATAGCGAGCAACACACTCACAATAAAACTCGTAGACTACATTGCTTGATATTTGAGCAGGGAGAGACTCTTTGGGAGTGGGCGGAAGAATAGTTTTTTTTGAGAATATAAAGACCACATTGCATGGAAAAAAGAAACTCTCAGTGATATTTTTAGTTTCCTTCTCGATGTCATTAGAGGCCTTACCCATCCAGGGAAGTTTAAGGAAAACAGGGCACTTGGCCGGTCCGAAAAGCTTATTCCGTTCATTGTTAGTGGATAAGAAAAGTTTGTCTAGCAATTCTTATCTCACTGAAGAATATTTTTGTGTTAAATGGACATCCGGAAAAGTTGCGTCTCTCCCTGCTCAAATATCAAGCAATGTAGTCTACAAGTTTAAATGTGAGTGTGATGCTCGCTATGTACGTAGGACTTCTCAAAGGTTGAGTGAAAGAATGTACCAGCTTCTGTCAGGAATAAAACTGTTCCTTTACGACAACTACCAAAACGTGGGTGTAAAAGTGAAAATCCGATTCTATTTGATTCAGCGATTGGAAAACATCTTTTAAGCAACACTCGCTGTGCCAATGCTTATTCTGATGAAAACTTTAAATTATTAAAAAATGTCGCTCGTTATACCAGCTACGTGTCATGGACTCGGTATTAATTAAATTGACTAATCCTGTCCTTTGCCGACAAAAGGATTACGTGTTTAATCTGTCTCTGTTTTAAGTGTCATCTCTAAAAATAAGGATGACATTGACCTTTTGTAACATTATAAATATAGCATGATTTGGAGTTTCTCATTTAACAGACATTGACACCTGACGAGTAGTCTGCCGAAATGCATAGTGTCTCTTTCTAGCTTTAAATAACGGTTCCTTTGAATTGTTTGGTTAGTGTTCTGGTTAAAACAGTTCTTTTAAGAACTACTACATTGTTATTATCACCATTGGTATTTGCTATTTTAAAATCAATCTTTAAGTTTGTCACCACGACAAAGTCTCTGTTTCATTATTTTATATATTTCATGGAAAATAGTCGAAACAAATTCAATGCATAATTTAATAATGATGTATGCAAAGCCATGTAATATATTTGAAAAATACCATTTATATAATACAGTATGTATATCATTAAAGTGAATCAGTGGAGAAATAATTTTTCAACAAGCTTTAAAGTTTTAAACATTTAACTTTACATATTTATCATCCAGTGTAAGCTACAAGAATTTTTAGTAAGTTATAATGTTTGATGAACGTTTTCTTGCTTATACATACTTTTGTCCAAAAGGTAAAACTTCGGCTATGGACAAGTGTCGTGGCTCGTTCATCGAAGGAAGATATTTCCATGAAGAACTACTTCCCATTTTAAAACACTCCACTGAATTATGATAATTACCTTTATCATTCGAACCTCCCATGACAACAATTGTATCACCAGTTATAACTGCACAACACAAATGTCTCTTTTCCAACATGGATGGTAAGACTGTGTTCTCACCTGTCTTAATGTCATACATAATAACACTGTTCAAACTTTTTCTTCCATCATAACCTCCAAGAAGAGCAACTTGATCTCTCCATTGAACTGTTGCCATTCCAGTCCATGGATGAGGTAATGGAGGCATTTCCTTAAATGTAAGAGTCCTTGGATCAAACTCCAAAACACTGGACATAACTTCATCATCTTTTCCCCATCCTCCAAGAATAAGAACTTTATCATCAACAACAACAGCTCCATGCTTCAAACGTGGTTCAGGCATATGACACAACTCTTTCAAAACATGAGATGTTGTACCTGTAATCTTTATTTCACTGATCAAATCTGATGTTCCTTTACCATTAATGTATCCTCCAATAAGAAGGATTTGTTGTTTATAAACAACAGTTTGATGACAAAAACATTTATAAGGAAACTTTGTGGGAAATGTCTTCCATGTTAAAGGAAACTGTTTTATATTCAAAGTCTCCATTGACTTGCAGCCCCATCCTCCAACAACAAGTAAATTATCATTATAAATAAATGATGAAGCCTCAATGTGTTTATTTTCCATTGATGCAATGTTAAACCATTTCTCCTCCTTCCATGAAAATATTTCAACACTCTTTGAGGAACCATATAAGGCACCTCCAGCAACCAAAATATCACCTTTTACAGAGTTCATCACCATTTCAGTTGGTGATGTCAATGTTTGAACATGTTGTTCATTTATATTCATCTTTTCCAACATTTGAAACATCATGGCTTTCATTTCTTTCATTTCTTTGGTCACTGTAGAAAGATTTTGTTGAACATCTTTTATTTCTTTCCTTGATTCCATCATTTCTTTGGTCACTGTAGAAAGATTTTGTTCAACATTTTCTACTACAGATTCCATCACTTCTTTATACTGAGATGTCAATGGTTTCACGGAATCTTTTACTTCAAAAAATTTTTCGTCTATTTTCCTGCTTAAGTTGTTCATTTGCATTTCCATTTTGTCTTCAAAACTTCGTTGAAACATTTCGCTAATCTCGAAAGTCGTGAGAAGCAATCTTTCTGTATTCACATAATTCAGTTTCATGTTTAATCTTGTCTCGTTTGTTTATTTCCAGACCACAACGTTCATTAGAACACAACACTGGAGCAAAAACAATTTTCAAATGTCTTTCAAGATCTTCGACATTTATAAATTCAGGACAACCGACTGGCGTAGTCGCAGTTGATCTTTAACTTTGAAATCATATTATTTATAACACGCGCTGGATGAAGCGTAGCTACATAAATCATCTTGACATTGAGGACATCTTTGTGCATTAACTCGTAGATGTTCTTCAATACATTCACGACAAAAACTGTGTTGATTATGGCACATTCTGGCATCTTTCATGACATTCAGACAAATTGAACAGTAAAAGTTTTCATCAACAACAATCTTAATCTCGATTCTTCATATCCACTTTCGTAAACATTAGGACGACAAGCCATTTCATACGTCTTCCTATACAATTTAATGCTAAAATTAATACAGGAGTTGACGAAATTTTGTTTATCACTAAAAGTTCAAGCTAAAAGATAGGTTAAAATTTTCAATCGACGTTTGATAAACACGGAAGCTGAAAGCAAAGCAAAACAACGCCTAGTTTTATATTTTAACATATTTATGTTCAGCAAAACAAAGACAAAAGATAAAACAAAATAATGCAATGAAGCACATCAACAACACAACTGAGGTCAAAGTTTCTAAGGTGAAGTGGAGCTTTAGTCAATCACATAAGGCAGTTCGTTCTCGGTGAAAAACATCCTAATTCTTTGTTTAATCACGTGATTTATTGCTTCAAAATGTTTTCCGGCTTTCAAGTGAAGCTAAAGAACTAAGATGGCGGCCAATGCTACTATAACTAAAGCAGCAACAACGAAAATTTAGTATCCGAGTACTTTTATCTCTTCAACCAAAGCAAAGTCAAGATACTAAGAGAAGCTTTCCTTATGTGATGGACTGGATCCATATTCTCTAAAAAGACGACTTTTAACCGATCATAACAATTTCTAACTTGCAGTTTCCATGACATTTCAAATTATTTGGTTGTTAAACCATTTTATACGAAGAAACAAATGAAAGCATACACAGCTCTAGAAATCAGCAACTTTTCATTGTGTTTGGGTTATAAAGTAAATCAAAGACCGTTAATGACAAAACAAAGCCTTGTTTTTGAATAAGTACAATTTGTTCCATACAATCAAGTAAACGATTGCTGTTGTTGTTGATTTGAGTTAGTTCTTATTACTTTAATATATGCTAGCATTTGTTTAACTACAAATTTAAGGACTTATTCTTTGTACTAAGATCAACCACTCACAAAGATCAAAGCAACTCCTTTAAAAGCTTAGAACATTCTCAAAAATGAGGAAGTTCTTACTGCTACTGTAATTTAATGGCTGGGTTAGAGTGTTTTGTTTGTCAAATTTTTTGCATTTGTGTTTTGAATTACAAAAGATCAAGCACTGTTGTAGATATATCTAAACTTAAAGATGGCATTATATTTATAACAAACATTGCTCGCCATCAAGTAGCAATAAATATTTCAAAAGTTTTAGTTAAACAGATGAAGATGTTTATTAATAAAGCAGATGGAGATGTTTCTTGCATGTTGCTCTTAAAAGTTTCAATTTTAGGGACTATTGTTTTACTCACAGGGACTACAGATTGATAAATTAGTTAAGCACAACAAATGACTGCTATCTTATCAATTACTGATTGTACTTCGAGTTTTTGTACATGTAAAACACGAAGAGCACCATTTTGAAGAACATGGTACTTTTAAACAGATTATTATTTTCAACATGTATTCTTACATTTGCAATTTTAGTTTTCCATTCATATGGTTACTGTATTTTCCCTTTGTAAATGTGTGTTACAATGAAGCACAATAAACCCAACAGTCTTTTCAATGTTAAAACCTCTATCAGCAAGAACAATATCTCCAGGTAATAAAATTGTCAAAAATACCACAAGCTTCAGTTGTTTTTGTCACTCCATCATGATTTGAGCTTTATGTTCTTGATTTTATTCCATATGGAACATAAAATACTGGACGCTGAGAGTGACTTTCTGTGTTCATCAGAATCTGTAGTATTTGCTTTACGAAATTTTCAAATTAGATTCTTAGAATTTGTTCATAAAGTGTGTTTACCAAGTTTGAAAACTTGTAAAGTTTCAACAAAATTGGCAGCCCAGTGTAAAACTATTTGAACATTATCATTTTAAAGCAAGAAGAACTCGAAAAACTTTTGACAATTAAACTGCAGGTTTCTCAATGCATTCATTGATGTTTTACATTAATGAGTTTAAATAGTTGATGTTAGTTTGTTTTCAATTACATGTTCAACAATTTTCATGTCTGTCAATTATCATGTCTGTATTTGCTTCTTGCAGCATGACATTGACCTCGGTCTTAATAATTCTAATATCATGCTCAACTTCATCTAATAACTGTTCATTATTTAAATATTAACTTGCTAAACTGAGGGACATTTTGCTGGTATATTTGTGTGTTATAATCTTTTCGTCCGAGGAATATTAAATTTCACTGTGTAGCACAAATCACTGTGACTGTCCCACTATCTTATAATGGTTTAAATGACAGAAAAATTACAGTCCATTGAAATGAAAAATATCAAATGTAGCCAAAACGCAAAACAAAATAATGAAAGCCAAAATGTACTTTTGGACGTACAAAACCAGGTTACAAACCCTAAACATGGCGACTGTATTATTGATGACGTCACGTTCCTCTCAAGAATACAAAGTTCTCAGACATAAAATTTCCTCGTTATTTTGTTGTCTGAGAGGAAACTGGAAAGGTGGCAAAATTTTCAATCTGAAGGTGCAATAACAATTTGTCATATTTATGTCATTTTAGCCAGTAAATAGCAAGAAATTTATCACGTGCTTTCGTACGAGTATACACGTCGTAGATGGTCAAAGTACAGTACACCAACAGCTAATGGTGCAGTTTCCTCATTCTTGTAATTTTACCATGCATATAAAGTATGTCACGTTTTAAATTTTGTTGCGTATAATAATAATGGCAGTACTAACGAAAATTGATATCCAGTTTGGTGTAGTCTTAAGAAGTGATTGAATGTTGGTGTTATTAGGGTAAACCTACCACTAGTAGGTGCCCCTAGTGCGCATGTGTGAACGCTACTTATAAAACATATTCACGTAGGGTGACTCGCTTTCTAGGATAACCCTTCTGCTGGGGTTACCGTACCTCCATGTAAATAGTCTCTAAGCAAATTGCTTTTGTATATTTCATGGGAAATAGTCCAAACAAATTCAACGCATAATTTAATAATGATGTGAGCAAAGCCATGTAATATATTTGAAAAATGCCATTTATATAAATAACATGTAAATATATAATTCTTAATTGGTGACCAAAGTTTGTGATAGACATGTGCTGTATATAGTATTTTATGATACAACTTGCAATATACAGTATATATATCATTAAAGTGAATCAGTGGAGAAATAATTTCTCAACAGGCTTTAAAGGTTTACACATTTAACTTTACATATTTATCATCCAGTGTAAGCTACAAGAATTTTTAGTAAGTTATAACGTTTGATGAACGTTTTCTTGCTTATACATACTTTTGTCCAAAAGGTAAAACTTCGGCTATGGACAAGTGTCGTGGCTCGTTCATTGAAGGAAGATATTTCCATGAAGAACTACATCCCATTTTGAAACACTCCACTGAATTAAGATAATTATCTTTATCATTCGCACCTCCCATGACAACAATTGTATCATCTGTTATAACTGCACAACAGTTGAATCTCTTTTCCAACATGGATGGTAAGACTGTAATCTTACCTGTCTTAGTGTCATACATGATAACACTGTTCAATCTTTTTCTTCCATCATCACCTCCAAGAAGAACAACTTGATCTCTCCATTGAACTGTTGCCATTCCGCCCAATGGATGAGGTAATGGAGGCATTTCCTTGAATGTAAGAGTCCTTGGATCAAATTCCAAAACACTGGACATAACTTCATCATCTTTTCCCCATCCTCCAAAAATAAGAACTTTATCATCAACAACAACAGCTCCATGCTTCAAACGTGGTTCAGGCATATGACACAACTCTTTCAAAACATTAGATGTTGTACCAGTAATTTTTATTTCACTGATCAAATCTGATCTTCCTTTAGTAATAATGTATTCTCCAATGTGAAAGATTTGTGTTTTATAAACAACAGTTTGATGACCCTCACAGTCATAAGGAAGCTCTGTGGGAAATTTTCTCCATGTTAAAGGAAACTGTTTTATATTCAATGTCTCCATTGACTTGCAGTCCACTCCTCCAACAACAAATAAAGTATCATTATAAATAAATGATGAAGCATCCATGTGTTCATTTTCCATTGATGCAATCTCAAACCATTTCTCCTCCTTCCATGAAAATATTTCAGCACTCTTTAAGGAACCATGTGGGTAACCTCCAGCAATCAATATATCACATTTTACAGAGTTCATGACCATTTCAACTGGTGATGTCAATGTTTGAACATGTTGTTCATTTATATTCATCTTTTCCAACATTTGAAACATCATGGCTTTCATTTCTTTCATTTCTTTGGTCACTGTAGAAAGATTTTGTTGAACATCTTTCGTTTCTTTCCTTGATTCCATCATTTCTTTGGTCACAGTAGAAAGATTTTGTTGAACATCTTTTGTTTCTTTCCTTGATTCCATCATTTCTTTGGTCACTGTAGCAAGATTTTGTTGAACATCTTTTATTTCTTTCCTTGATTCCATCGTTTCTTTGTTCACTGTAGAAAGATTTTGTTGAACATCTTTTATTTCTTTCCTTGATTCCATCATTTCTTTGGTCATTTCTAAAGACGATAGAAAAACTATATTACAACTTTTGCTTTTGAGGAAAACATTCTGAAATATTCTACATTAAAGGACACATGCAAGATAGAAGACAACTTTATTTTATTGTAATGCCTACGGCGTGAAAATAAAACGTACCAAGTTTCAAAGTCGTCCGCAAAATATTTCAAAAGATATTTAGGGTTATAATCGATAAAAACACGATGTTCGATGACCATTGCTAAAACGCCGTGAGATTGTTGAAGTCTGGGAACTGGGAATGAGTGACGTAATAGTTGACATAAACAAGCATTTTTCTTATATCGTTCTACGACTAGCACAACTTTCGGTAGTTTGCTATTAAGGTAGTTTGCTAGTTATTTATTTTTATTTAACAAAATTAATGGATTCTTCTTTGAATAAGCCGATTATGATATTTTCATCAATAACAATGAGGTACAACCTTGCATGTTTGAGCCTTTGGCCAACGCGCAAGGTGGTCATAGTAATGACAATTCTCCGTCATCGGAAGATGAATACATTCACAGATTTGGAAATGTTGAATGGTTAGTTGCATTTTATGGATGCTTCATTGTTTTTCCCAGAGTAAAACGAATGTTTTTATCTTTTAGGTGCGAATGTGGCTTTTGTGTGGTCATGAGTACAGGACGGGAAAGTATATGTTGCCAAGAGGTAAACAATAGTGATCCTCTGAAACATGGCGATCATATTTGCATCACACAAGAGGAAGAGTTTGCCACAGTGTGTACAAACGAAGCCGTCATAAAAACATCTATGGTCGTGTACACACATGACATTGGACCTATACCTGAGAGTGAAGAAAACGAGTAAATATTACCTTAGAAGTATAATTACGTGTATGTCGAGAAGTGTATAATGCCGATAAGTATCTTAGACAAAATTTTGTATCTTTTAAGAAACATTACGCTACACGGCGTACCGACAGTGGACGGCTTGGGTGCATGGCAAGTTGGGAAAAAAGTACAGACTACCCATACCTTCTTGTGCTGTGGACAAAATCCGGAAAGCATTTCCTTCGCCTTCTGGAGAATACAAAGGATTTGAATATGCTCAACACTACTGAATGGTAGGGCTTATGGCGTATGACAAAGTCTGTTCATTTGTAATTATGTTTATTTCATGTGGAACGCTATTTCTATTATCTTTTTATATATAGAAGCGACATTTATGTTGCTTAATGGCTTCAGCTTTGCTGATTTTTGATTTGTGGCAAGTCAATGGGACAGGTATTTCTTTCACTCCAGACATGAAGAGCTTTGGACAGTGTTGGATTAATGCGTCTGCAGTACAAAACTTCTTTCATCAAGTCCTTAACATATCCTGAAAAGCAAATCATTATTTATGTTGGCTTTGCATTGCACTTTGAGAAAAAGTAAGTTTATTTTTCTGTGCTAACCATAAGTGCTGTCAATTTTCACTGGTTTGATATCCCCTTGCCCTTCTTTTGAATTTGAATAAGCCACTCTCCAAATCAATTCCTCTTCTGTTTCCCCATCATTCTTCATTTTATGAGCTTTGTTTCCATTCTCATTGAAATGAAGAGCAGCAATAAACAATCTACAAATGAATGTTAAGTTTATGTTTACAACTATTGCAACTTATTGCTTTTGCAATGATGACTTTTTTTAAGTAATCATACACAAATCATTTTTATTACCTTGCTTACATTGATCTGTAGAAAAATTAAGTATGTTTTGGTGCAAAAAGAATTACCACTCGGTGGAAACCTTTGATGGATGAAGTCTGCTTTTGATAACTGAGTTTTCCAATATCTCTCATGAGATACTTGGACTCAACAATCGAAGACAGCTCAAAAATAAGCTTTTGAACCTAAGATCAGAAGTTAGTTAACAAAAAAAAATGTTAATGTTACTTTGAAATTTATTCGCTTACAATACCTTTTTTTATCGACATTCTAGGCTCTAACATATCATGTTCACATTTTTGGGAATACATCAATATGTCCCTCATGGATGTCACATATATGGTTGAGAACTGACAACAACTTTGCCTTCACAAGTTCTTCATCACCATTTCTGAAAGCAGCACACCAGTATACATGGTTGGAAATTGATTGGGCCCAATCTGACAATAATTTGCAACCACTTTTTTTTGATGCTGCCCAAATGTTCTTTTTAATTCCTGTTGGATTTTGATTATTGATGAAATGTGTAAAAGGTTGGTTTGTTATTACAATCTATACCTTTTGCTACATGCCATACATCAAAGTAGTGCTCGATTTTTGGTCTTTGTTTTGACATGTAGGATTTGATTTGAGCATGTCTGTCTGTGGTCATTGACTTCACCTTCATCCCACTTTCATCAAACTTTGCCAGACATCTCTTTAATCCCTCAAGTTCCATTGCTCCAGAGTTCGTCACTTCATTGGACTATGTAACATAATTATGTGAGTATTCTAACCATGTTTTATGTACAGTTGTTGAAGAATTGTTACCTGAACAAGTTGTGTGTCTAAAATGTTGTTAGATTCCAAATCCATGCAGCTATATGACCCATACTTGGCACAGTATCCAGGCGAATCACATCTTCCATCTCCTCCAAGGTTAATGTTCCTTTCTCTGATTGATTCTAGAAGATGCTTTTGGTTCATATGCCAAACATTTGAAACACTGGGTATCAAATACGCTGTTTGAATATTGCTATATGTGCGCTCTGACAGAAATTGTATGCCTGAGTGACGAAGGAATTGAAGAACTTTGCTGGGGCTACTACCACTAAACAAGATGCTGGCAGCAAAGACCAAGTTACCCAAAGGCATTCGCCCATGCAGAGGTTGGCTATTCCAGTCTCGAACATAACCACAATGACATTTTGCTAGTACGTTAACCATACTACCAGTCGTTTTGGTCACAATGGAACAGCTTTCACCACAACATGGGCATTGACTCACTAACTGTCTCAGGCAACTATCAAACACTATGTATTTTCTCTCATTTTGAACGTCTTCCTATAACATAAAATTACCATCAGAATCAGAGAGAGATAAACGTAACGTTCTGAGAAACATAACAGAGAAAAGCAATGTAAAGAATAGTCAGGTGACTGGATAGTTGGTACTAACGTTGCATTGTCATTGTCGGATTCTTCATTTTCGCTTAACTCATTTGAACATTGAGAGTCAGATCCATTGTTGCTATTGCTCATCGTCGACGTGCTTTCTGTATCAGACCATACAGCGCTATCCTCAAAATGTTCAATTTCACATGACGTCGTCTGTGTGCTGTGATTTTTTGTTGAAATGAACTCAACCTCCGTACCTTAGCATAAAATTATCGTATTGCTGGATTTTTCACAAAAATCAAAACGGCCGGAATGGAAAGTCTATACCTCTACTTATCATATTTGGCACTTTTGTTTGAGTGGTTCTTGACCTTACGTGTTTTGCGGACGGATTGTTATGGCTGCTTGGCATTTCACATTGCGCTTCTAAGGTATTAAGGAATTTTTATGAGTTAAAATAACAAAGAAAAGATCAAACGACATTAGTCTGAATTAGTTACCACTGTATATGTTTGTGTTTCGCTGTCTACATATATTTTGACATCATTCATCTTAGACAAACTTCCTTTGAGGTAAAACGCACAAACATTTCGAGCCGATGTCGACACATCGTGGTCGTCGTCTACAAGAAAGTCGTCATGTTCTGCAAGAACGTCGTCAATAATCTAAAATTATAAAATTGTCTTCAATTTGGTAATGCTATATAGCTTAGTTTTTGATAAATGTAAACAAATATTGCTAACTATAACTATAATATTCACCTCTTGCCTTCGTCTCTTCTCAAATGCAGTTCTAACATTTGTTGGCTGCTTCCTTTTAGATGCTACACTTGTGGGTTCCACAGAGTATTCAAAATCGTGGGTACAGCATCCTTCTTAAGGCGAAGCCGTCCTGCTGTCCATCCTACTGATTGCATCGCTTCAAAATTTTGCACGAAGCACGAACTCTCGAAATGTTGCGAGCACAATTTTGAGCTCTTTGTTGGCTTCCAATTTTTGCGTCGGATTTTTTCAAGCCAAATATCCCGCATGCGCTTGTTTTCGGGAAACGAAAAAAAGAAACCTTTTGCTGCGTTTCGTGGTTCTTAGAAGAACCGTTTTTACAATTAAATGCGGCACAATAAACCATATTTTCAATGCTAAATTGTCGTGTTGTTAAGAAGTTACCAATATATTTTGAACGAAGCGCGCAATTGACCGCGTTTAGCTAATGTCAACTATTACGTCACAACGACATCGGTAGCTGTCGCTAGCTCGTCGGGCATTTTCAATACGTTATCAGTAAAGCATCAACTTTAAACCTCCATATCTTCAAAATATTTATCCTTTGAGTCTCAAACTTTGGTGAACTATTAGTTGTAGCTATACCTTCATGTAAAGTACAAAAATAACAATCCGAATTTTATGTTGCATGTGTCCTTTAACCATATATGATGCAGATGAGCAAGTAACTTCAACTAATAAAGTGATGAAGAAAGCGTTTGGACGAGCAGGAACTTTTATTCTTAATGCCCATACATTGGCTATTAAAATGTCGAACTGCGGTCACTAAAGACACCAGTTAACGATAAAGAAGCACGAATCGAAATCATTCAATACTTGCGTACTTTTGATTTGATCTCAAACTTAGCTTTGCTTCCATTCATCACTGTGAAAGAGCGTCAAAAATTTCAGCGAACATTGACTTGAAAGAATGCAGCGAGCAGTCTTGATCTGGAACATTCATTGATCTAAATTTTACGAGAGTAGTGACACTTTGCAAAACAATATGAATTCCATGCTTGTAAATGTAGATTGTCCAGGTTCGTATAGTCCTGAGAAGGACTGTTTTTGTTGTTGTTGACTGACGTATCGACAACCTTAGCGGTTGTCATCTTCAGAGTCATTTACTTTAATACGAATTCCGTTTCGCCGTTTGCCAACGTGTCACATATTTCGGCATTTCATAAAGAGCACCAGATATTGCCCATAGCAAAATAGTAATTTCAATACGAATAACTAACAATACAGACAAACCCTCGTGAGTCATGACAGCTGTAATTTTATCGCAGATCGATAAATAACTGTTATATGAAGTCTATACTTAAAAGTGGTACCATAAACTGCGTAACATGAAGTACATGAAATGATACAAGGTGTTTGAATATAACAAGGATGAAACGAGAAATCACTTTTAACCCTCTAGAAACCGTTGCTGCCCACGAGCAGCACTCACCAAACGAGATGTGTGCAAACTTTCGAAAATGTCCGGCTTCTAGAGGGTTAAAGCGTTAATTCACTTATTGTTTCCATGCTGAAAGATTCCAAAAAAGATTCAAAAGTTCTTCCATCAATGATTCGGCAGATGACATTGACCTCGGTCTGAATAATTCTAGATATCATGCTCAACCTCATCCAATAACTGTTTATTATTAAAATATTAACTTGCTAAACTGAGGGCATTTTGCTGGTATATTTGTGCTTTATAATCGTTTTTCCGAGGAACATTAAATTTCACTGTGTAGCACAAATCATTGTGACTGTCCCACCATCTTATAATGGTTTAAATGATAGAAAAATTACAGTCCATTGAAATGAAAAAGATTAAATGCAGCCAAAACGCAAAACAAAAATGAAAGCCAAAATGTACTTTTTGGACGTACAAAACCAGGTTACAAACCCTAAACATGGCGACTGTATTATTGATGACGTCACGTTCCTCTCAAGAATACAAAGTTCTCAGACATAAAATTTCCTCGTTATTTTGTTGTCTGAGAGAAAACTGGAAAGGTGGCAAAATTTTCAATCTGAAGGTGCAATAACAATTTGTCATATTTATGTCATTTTAGCCAGTAAATAGCAAGAAATTTATCATGTGCTTTCGTACGAGTATACTCGTCGTAGATGGTCAAAGTACAGTACACCAACAGCTAATGGTGCAGTTTCCTCATTCTTGTAATTTTACCATGCATATTAAGTATGTCACGTTTTAAATTTTGTTGCGTATAATAATGGCAGTACTAACGAAAATTGATATCCAGTTTGGTGTAGTCTTAAGAAGTGATTGAATGTTGGTGTTATTAGGGTAAACCTACCACTAGGGTGCCCCTAGTGCGCATGTGTGAACGCTACTTATAAAACATATTTACGTAGGGTGACTCGCTTTCTAGGATAACCCTTCTGCTGGGGTTACCGTACCTCCATGTAAATAGTCTCTAAGCAAATTGCTTTTATATATTTCATGGGAAATAGTCCAAACAAATTCAACGCATAATTTAATAATGATGTAAGCAAAGCCATGTAATATATTTGAAAAATATCAGTTATATAAATAACATGTAAATATATAATTCTTAATTGGTGACCAAAGTTTGTGATAGACATGTGCTGTATATAGTATTTTATGATACAACTTGCAATATACAGTATATATATCATTAAAGTGAATCAGTGGAGAAATAATTTCTCAACAGGCTTTAAAGGTTTACACATTTAACTTTACATATTTATCATCCAGTGTAGGCTACAAGAATTTTTAGTAAGTTATAACGTTTGATGCACGTTTTCTTACTTATACATACTTTTGTCCAAAAGGTAAAACTTCGGCTATGGACCCAAGTCGTAGCTCGTTCATTGAAGGAAGATATTTCCATGAAGAACTACATCCCATTTTAAAACACTCCACTGAATTAAGAACATTACCTTTATCATTCCAACCTCCCATGACAACAATTGTATTGTCTGTTATAACTGCACAACAGAAATGTCTCTTTTCCAACATGGATGGTAAGACTGTAATCTTACCTGTCTTAGTGTCATACATGATAACACTGTTCAATGTTTTTCTTCCATCCCAACCTCCAAGAAGAACAACTTGATCTCTCCATTGAACTGTTGCCATTCCACCCAATGGATGAGGTAATGGAGGCATTTCCTTAAATGTAAGAGTCCTTGGATCAAATTCCAAAACACTGGACAAATCTTTCCTATCTTTTCCCCTTCCTCCGAAAATAAGAATTTTATCATCAACAACAACAGCTCCATGGCCCCAACGTGGTTCAGGCATATGACACAACTCTTTCAAGACATTAGATGTTGCACCTGTAATCTTTATTTCACTGATCAGATCTAATGTTCCTTTAGTAATAATGTCTCCTCCAATGTGAAAGATTTGTTGTTTATAAACAACAGTTTGATGACCCTCACAGTCATAAGGAAGCTCTGTGGGAAATGTCTTCCATGTCAAAGGAAACTGTTTTATATTCAATGTCTCCATTGACATGCAGGCCACTCCTCCAACAACAAATAAATTATCATTATAAATAAATGATGAAGCTCTGCTGTGTTCATTTTCCATTGATGCAATCTTAAACCATTTCTCCTCCTTCCATGAAAATATTTCAACACTCTTTGAGGAACCAACTGAGTTACCTCCAGCAATCAAAATATCACCTCTTACAGAGTTCATGACCATTTCAATTGGTGATGTCAATGTTTGAACATGTTGTTCATTTATGTTCATCTTTTCCAACATTTGAAACATCATGGCTTTCATTTCTTTCATTTCTTTGGTCACAGTAGAAAGATTTTGTTGAACATCTTTTATTTCTTTCCTTGATTCCATCATTTCTTTGGTCACTGTAGAAAGATTTTGTTGAACATCTTTTATTTCTTTCCTTGATTCCATCATTTCTTTGGTCACTGTAGAAAGATTTTGTTGAACATCTTTTTTTTCTTTCCTTGATTCCATCATTTCTTTGGTCACTGTAGAAAGATTTTGTTGAACATCTTTTATTTCTTTCCTTGATTCCATCATTTCTTTGGTCACTGTAGAAAGATTTTGTTGAACATCTTTTATTTCTTTCCTTGATTCCATCATTTCTTTGGTCACTGTAGAAAGATTTTGTTCAACATTTTCTACTACAGATTCCATCATTTCTTTATACTGAGATGTCAATGGTTTCACGGAATCTTTTACTTCAAAAAATTTTTCGTCTATTTTCCTGCTTAAGTTGTTCATTTGCATTTCCATTTTGTCTTCAAAACTTCGTTGAAACATTTCGCTAATCTCTCGAAAGTCGTGAGAAGCAATCTTTCTGTATTCACATAATTCAGTTTCATGTTTAATCTTGTCTCGTTTGTTTATTTCCAGACCACAACGTTCATTAGAACACAACACTGGAGCAAAGCCACAATTTTCAACATGTCTTTCAAGATCTTCGACATTTATAAATTCAGGACAACCACGACTGGCGTAGTCGCAGTTGATCTTTAACTTTGAAATCACGTTATTTATAACACGCGCTGGATGAAGCGTAGCTACAGTTAAATCATCTTGACATTGAGGACATCTTTGTGCATTAACTCGTAGATGTTCTTCAATACATTCACGACAAAACTGTGTTGATTATGGCACATTCTGGCATCTTTCATGACATTCAGACAAATTGAACAGTAAAAGTTTTCATCAACAACAGTCTTAAATCTCGATTCTTCATATCCACTTTCGTAAACATTAGGACGACAAGCCATTTCATACGTCTTCCTATACAATTTAATGCCAAAATTAATACAGGAGTTGACGAAATTTTGTTTATCACTAAAAGTTCAAGCTAAAAGATAGGTTAAAATTTTCAATCGACGTTTGATAAACACGGAAGCTGAAAGCAAAGCATAACAACGCCTAGTTTTATATTTTAACATATTTATGTTAAGCAAAAAAAAGACAAAAGATAAAACAAAATAATGCAATGAAGCACATCAACAAAAAAAAACACAACTGAGGTCAAAGTTTCTAAGGTCAAAGAAGTGGAGCTTTAGTCAATCACATAAGGCAGTTCGTTCTCGGTGAAAAACATCCTAATTAAAGGTTATTTGTTGTAGTAAAATTACGTCTTTTCTTATAATGCAGAATTAACGTTAATCCAAGACGATTGTTACGTTTTCAGTTCAAAACTACATTTGTTTAGTCTGAATCACTGGTTGAAATTCTGAAACTCGTTTGTTTTGGGTTGCACCCTAAGTTCATTGCATTTGTTTCTTTGACTGTCAATATTTCTAATCATTTTAGATACGATGATCATATATTTATAACACAAGGAAACATGTTTCAAGACACAAGTAAAACATACTTCACAAAGACTGTTGAATCCGATTTGCAAATTAAAAGTTTAGGCATCTTTTGTTACTATGTTTTAACAAACAAATTATAGATAACATTCAAAATGCTAAATGGAACTGACAAAAGGTTGCAAGAGTGGGAAAAATGACCATGTTAAGAATACCTTAGGTGATGAGAGATTCCTTTCCTCGCAGTTAGCCTGCAGTTGGCCACTTATCGTCGATTTCAGTTAACTTTTTAAATGGCGGTTGCCGAGTTACTTTCTAATGTTGCCAACTACATTTCCAAATATGGAATATTCGTTATGAACTCGTCAACTTGAGTTGACAAGTTGTGTACTTGAGTACTGAAGTTGTGTACTTGAGTACTGAAGTTGTGAACTTGAGTACTGAAGTTGTGAACCAAAGTTGCGAAGTACTGGCAAACGCAAAAAGTCTGCGGGAGTTTCTATTTCTGCGGGAATTTTATTTTTGAAGAACTGGCGCAAAATTCTAATATCGCGAAGAAGTTTTGGTCTGTTCATTTTATATTCAGCATTAATTTTCATCATCTGGGGGTTAATGCTTTTATAAATTGGTGCTCACTCTGGCTTTGAAAATTATTAATACCATTTAATTGTTCTTGGAGTTGCTTAATAGTCTCGTGTTTTTGTTTTATCTTAAACTTCAATCGATTTATGTCCGCAGAATATTCGGGATATTTGTCTTTAAGTCCACAATAAGTAAACGCGGAACATTTTTCAAGAATACACGGTTTAGTTTGTGTGTTTCTGTGACCTCGGTGGTGGCAGTTGCTGCAGATGACTTTGTAATTACCAATCATTGGTAATTCAGGAACATTTAAATTCATCGATTCTAATTGCACGTTCATCTCTTCCAAATCTTGCTTGTTGTGATGAATTGAGTCTTCGATTGTCCTTCGCCGATTTTACAATGAACGTTTAGCGGGTATACTTGTATCCTATTTCAGATAGTTAAACGCAACATTATAAATTTATACATTTATTTTTATTGTGACTACAAAAACAATGACGCACGACAGTATTCAGTTTTAAGAAATATGTCACTTTACGACCTACCTCGTACGAAGCAGATGGATTTTCATCCACGTCAAGACAGCTTTTTGATTGAGATTTTGAAAGTTTTAATAACGGTGACTGCTCCGCAGCAAATCGAGATGAAATTCTAAAACTTTCCTTGCCCCAAGAGGCAAGTTCGTATTCTTTTAAAGATGACCAAGATTTTCATTACTTAACAATTTCAGCGACAGTCGTGAAGAAAATTCATTTTCTTTCAAAGCTTTTTCTATTACTTCATGACTTTGTTTCCCAATTTTATCCTTAAAACTATTAAGAAACTCCTCCAATTCATCTGCCATTATCAGTGAACAATTTATTTAGCTTTTACTAGCCTACAACACAGACCTTTCGCGTTTGCCAGTACTTCGCAACTTTAGTTCACAACTTCAGTACTCAAGTTCACAACTTCAGTACTCAAGTTCACAACCTCAGTACTCAAGTTACACAACTTGTCAATTCAAGTTGACAAGTTCATAACGAATATTCCATATTTGGAAATGTAGTTGGCAACATTAGAAAGTAACTTGGCAACCGCCATTTGAAAAGTTAACTGAAATCGACGATAATTAGACTTTCTTTTCTGCAAGTTTCTTCCTTTGTCCCAGACCACAAGTAGTGAATCTTTAAAATAGTTTAGGCCGTAACTAATGGGTTCTATTGAATTACAGGTCAGTGGCAGGAACTAGAGGCCGTAGACACCCCAGTGCACTACACCTCCATGTGACCATACATCCATAAGGTCTCCATCTTATGAACTGTCACTGAATCACGTGTTTGTTTGTTTGTACTTCGATGTCTCAGTTACCTGCATTGGCAAAGTTAAGGTAGGTAGGCTCTATAATTGTGCTTTTTGTGTTGTACAAAATGTTAATGTTTGTTCAATTGCCTATAATATCAACAGTGCGAGTTTGTTTTTCTTTAATGTGCATCTCCCCCCCTTCCTTTAAACTTTCTGGTTGGGAATTACTACCCTATTCCTCGACCTAGGTTAATTTACTGAAACCTCGATATATCTTCATTTCATGGAAACAAATTTGGTACACCGATGTCATTTCTACGTGTTATAACTCTCAAACAATGAACATGCTCACGTAAACATGCATAATTACAAAATCATATAGTTACATACTAGATACCTTCTTTAATTCAGAAAAGAACGGATACAGACGATTTCGTCACATTAATTATTATACATTGTATATTCGTACTTTATCCTTAAAATATTCATCAAATGTGCTGATGAAATTGTCATAAGGGTCAAATTTTCTATTACTGGGGAGTGAGAATGAGTTTTGCTGATGAAATATTTGTTAAAAGACAGCAACTGAAGCACTTCTCGACTGTTTAACTCATACTGATTGCACAAAGGTATTAGTTTTTAATTTGTATGAATGTACTTGGTAGTGTGTTTGATTAATAAAAGTAGATTTAAACCTTTTCGCTTCTTTGTTCAGGTTTTAACAAGCAACTTGACTTGTGGGGACAAAGTCTGTGCAGTAATTGGTAAAGTTGATGGTTATTGCATAGATACAAGTATTGACGACAAGATATATCATGTAGCAGACAACTTGTACATTTCTTCACAAGATGGAGCTTGTAATCTTGAAGATTTAAGGCTGCAAAAAATTACTCATATTGTTAATGTTGCCACAGGAATTGTAAATCAATTTCCAAATGTGAGTATAACTTAGATGGTGGATTTCAAATTTTAGTCTAGGTTCTTGTGTTTATGTCAAATTTTGATTTTTTCTCAGGAGTTTCAGTACAAAACAGTAGAAAGTTTGGATTTACCGAACACAAGAATAGATCAGAATTTTGCTGAGCTGTCCTCATTCATTGAAAAGGGACTGGAGGATGGAAAGGTTTTGGTTCATTGGTAAGTGTAAAATGTTAATGGCCATTGATATTCTTAATATGTGTGTATTGTGAAGGTTATTATGGTAAGATTTTAGGTTTTCAAGTGAATGAATTAAACTTTGATTATTTTTATTAGTACATGTTGATGTTTTAACATACTTAGCAATAATTATTTACTTTGAACTTGGCTCGAAATATGACTACATCTGAGGATGTGAAAACATCAGTCAACATCAACTGAATTAACCTGAATGATCAACACATACAAACATGTAGGTTTTGCTACAGGCTTGTCAACACAATTTATGTTCTTATGGAGGATATTAATTTGATTACAAAAAACCAAATGCTGAATCAGCATGTTCACTGTTAACTTGTTGAAATGTTAATTGAAGGCTGTGTTTCACATTTGAGGCATACGTAACTTAAAGATGATGGCCATTAAACTAAAAATTGTTGCTTATGCAGCAAAAATTTTGTAGCCAATGAAATGATTTTCCTTTAAATGTCCAGCAAAGCAGGAGTGTCCAGGTCTTCGACTGTTGTCATTGCTTACCTTATGAAATCTAACAATATTGGGTTAGATGATGCATTTCATTTGGTAAAGAAAGCATGACCAACAGCAAAGCCTAATGAAGGTTTTTGGAGGCAACTGAAGGAAAATCATTTATTATTAAGTCAATCAAACACTCCAAGTGATGGAAGAACAAACAAATAATGGTAAACCATTCTTATATGATGGTTGAATATGCACATGAGCAGAGTGAAAGCACCAAAATTAATGGCGAACCATTCCTGTATGGTGCTACAACATGCACATGAGCCATGTGAAATGAAGAACAAAATATAATGGTGAACCATTCCTGTATGGTGCTACAACATGCACATGAGCCATGTGAAATGAAGAACAAAATATAATGGTGAACCATTCCTGTATGGTGCTACAACATGCACATGAGCCATGTGAAATGAAGAACAAAATATAATGGTGAACCATTCCTGTATGGTGCTACAACATGCACTTGAGCCATGTGAAATGAAGAACAAAATATAATGGTGAACCATTCCTGTATGGTGCTACAACATGCACATGACCCATGTGAAGTGAAGAACAAAATATAATGGTGAACCATTCCTGTATGGTGCTACAACATGCACATGAGCCATGTGAAATGAAGAACAAAATATAATGGTGAACCATTCTTGTATGGTGCTACAACATGCACTTGAGCCATGTGAAATGAAGAACAAAATATAATGGTGAACCATTCCTGTATGGTGCTACAACATGCACATGACCCATGTGAAATGAAGAACAAAATATAATGGTGAACCATTCTTGTATGGTGCTACAACATGCACTTGAGCCATGTGAAATGAAGAACAAAATATAATGGTGAACCATTCTTGTATGGTGCTACAACATGCACTTAAGCCATGTGAAATGAAGAACAAAATATAATGGTGAACCATTCCTGTATGGTGCTACAACATGCACATGACCCATGTGAAATGAAGAACAAAATATAATGATGAACCATTCCTGTATGATGCTACAACATAAACATGAGCCATGTGAAATGAAGAACAAAATATAATGGTGAACCATTCTTGTATGGTGCTACAACATGCACTTGAGCCATGTGAAATGAAGAACAAAATATAATGGTGAACCATTCTTGTATGGTGCTACAACATGCACTTGAGCCATGTGAAATGAAGAACAAAATATAATGGTGAACCATTTCTGTATGGTGCTACAACATGCACTTGAAATGAAGAACAAAATATAATGGTGAACAATTCCTTAATGGTAATAGAATACAAATCTAAACTAAACAATGTAATAATAAGGTTATTGTATACAATGTTTGATGTTTCCTGAAATCCAATAGTCATTGAAATTGCTGTTTTCAAATACTTAGTAAACTCAACTTATAACATAACCCTCCCTTGGCTAACTTTATTTTTAGAATTGGGTAGAAAAGATACAAGGTGAATATGAAAACCATAATAGTCTTTGACATAATGATCTATTTAAGTTCTAATATTTTATCTTTATAAATCTTCAGCTGGAGAGCACAATCTGTTGCTTTCTTTGGCAAATGTTATCACCTGTCATGATTAATCTGTATAAAAATTTCCATTGTTGGGTCAATGGATTTTGCAATTGCATGCAGGTTGTGTTTCCCGAGGAGGAGGGGTGATAAAGAAGTGTTTCCATGGCAACTTTCCAGCATTATTGATGTGTCCAACAATTGATATAGGTAAGAAAGTTCTATGTGAGACAACATTAACTTTCTTGTTTAAATTCATCCCTGATGTTTGCGTTGGTGTTTTATATTTTTGTGATACCTGTCCACATCAAACTTATCATCACACACCATAAACAGTTCAATGTTCTTTGTTTATATAGAGCCCCTCCAATGCGATTCAATGTTTCTATGGTAACTGCTATGCAGAATCTGTTCAAGTTTTGAGGGAATCAGGAAAAGTAACAGGTCTTCTGTTTAAACTTGTGGGAGAAGGTATGGATGACGCTAACACTCAGTATGATCTCATCATCTTTACTCAACATTATCCCACCCCTTCACTCAACGTTGCTCATTACCTCATTTCCTTTACTCAACATTGTCCCACCCCTTCACTCAACGTTGCTCATTACCTCATCTCCTTTACTCAACATTGTCCCACCCCTTCACTCAACGTTGCTCATTACCTCATCTCCTTTACTCAACATTGTCCCACCTTCACTCAACGTTGCTCATTACCTCATCTCCTTTACTCAACATTGTCCCACACCTTCACTCAACGTTGCTCATTACCTCATCTCCTTTACTCAATATCACCTCGCTCTTACATAGTCATTATTTAATTTCCATCACGTTGTTCAGTGAATATATTTCAGTACTTTTCATTTAAACATTTTTCATCACCTTTTCCCATTTCTATACGTTAAAAATTTCTTCCTTCAGGAAACAGCTTCGGTACATTACCAGACCTGAATAAAAAAGTTGTTGAAAGAACGGTTTCATTTGGAGACACGTGTCAGGTACGTAGACTTAATGATTTTGCAACAAATGTTTCTTCTTTTATTCCAATAGTATAGATCTGTTGTAGGTAGGTAAATAAATATACTGAACTGACGTTTTTGGGAGTGTGTGCTAGAATAGGCCACCACAACCTGGAACGACAAAGATAACGAGATATATATATATTTTTACATGTTTGCAAATGTCGATCGTCCAGGTTAGTATAGTCCTGAAAAGGACTGTTTTTGTTGTTGTTGACTGACGTTTCGACAATCTTAGCGGTAGTCATCTTCAGAGTAATTTTGACAACCTTAGCGGTAGTCATCTTCAGAGCCATTTTGACTCTGAAAATGACTACCGCAAAGGTTGTCGAAACGTCAACAACAACAAAACAGTCCTTCTCAGGAATATACCAACCTGGACGATCGACGTTTACAAACATGTAACGATACTCCCGGGTTCAAACCATTTACTTTATATATATATTTTATTCGTTATCGCCCTCCTCTCTTCTGCCACCCGTGAAAGATCCCCTTCATTTTATAATAGACATTTTTTTAAAGTTCTCTTTGTCTGTTTTCTTTGAAAAACACTATTATTGCAAGTGGAACCAGGAAGACTGGGGTCTAAACTTTTATAGCTACTGAAAAGAATATTTTGTACAAAATTTTCCATTTCAGGATGTCATGACGTGTTTTGGTTCACCTTGTAAAGTATTTTATAAAGCTGAAGATAAGGTGAATGTTTAGCAAAAGTTTCAGTAGAGGATTTGACTTAAGAAGCGTTTTTAGTTAGCATTCAAGCAGTTCATTTAGTTGCAAGACGTCTATCAGACGTCTATTTTTGCTATTGTAGAGAAAAATGCGAATTTTAATCTCGGACGTACAATCGGTTGTCCATACCTTCTCGTATTATTTTGTTTATTTGACTATAACTCTGTTTCCAATATCGCTGTTTTTTATTACAACGTCTTACCTTATTACAACTGATTAATAATTTTAATGTTTTTTATGTGCATTACAGCAATATCTTCTTCTCCATCTTTTTCTCTAGATGCGTATCCATTCTCCCTATACATACAAACTTAATTAATCAAATAGATCCTTCTATTTCTTCAACTAATTTTACACTTGGCGTGGTAAGTCATGAATTTTATTCTTTGGCTTTTTTCTACCTATTCTGTAGTGTTGTGTTGATAAAGTTATGCCTGATTGCAGGCTATATGCATAAGCTCGGGAAACAGGGATAAAAACAAGGCATGAATTGAGCCCCGAGGTGCAAAAAGTGAAGAGCGTATTTTTTGTACAATGTCTTTTGTTTAATAAATATTTGTTATAACAACGGGAGTTTGGTGTTCTGTAACAATTCGGAACAGAGTACATTTTTCTTGATTTCTTTCATTCTTAATTACCTATCTATTATTTGAGACAATAGTCTTCTTCATTCCCATAATTCCATGCATCATAAATAAAAAGGAACATAACAGCAAAAGAAATCATATTTTCCTGATTATTGGCGTAGATAAAACAAAATGGGCAGAATTGTATCAGGAGCTTGGACTTTATTATTGGTAGCTTCTTTTCTTCATGAAAGCAGTGCACTTTCTGCTCAGACATGCAAAAATATTACATCCTTTAAAGAAAAGTGTTAGAATCCTGATTTTATATTTGTCAAAAATCAAATTGTTCTTAAGGGCGAACTCGATGTTAAATTCGAGACTAGTGGACAAAATTTCTCTTGGTATTGTGGAAGCTCGAGAAGAGAAGTGGTTTTGGACAAACCGGCAAATAAAGCACGAGTGTATTATCGAAAAAATGAAGACGTAGAAATATTCATTGAAGATTGTCCCCAGGTTAAGTCTAAAAAATTCAGTGTTACAGCTGGTAAAAGTGTTTGTTACGACGAAAGTTTTTCCTATGCGTGTCCTGGGATAGAAGGAAAACATCATCCTTGCAGTTATGAACTAACAATTAACAAAAAAACAACTAAAGTATCTCAGGTATCTGTCGGATTGACCCTGAAAATCGTAGCAAAATTCAAAATATCTTTTTCTGCATCAAGGACACAAAAAATCGTACACACTTATGAGTACCAAGAGAAATGGTACTTTGTCGTACCTGCTGGATATACGTTTTGCTCATATAGAAAAGCCACAATTAGTTTTGGAAATCAGTCATACTACTGTTCCGGAACAGACTTCAAATTTGTTAAGTTTGGTACTATTTGCTCGGGGAATAGATTATGTAATAAAAAAGAAAGGTCATGTTTCCATGACGAACACAACATCAGTAACAGGCCAAATTTTCATTTCGCTTTCTGTTTTATCATACTCTGTGTTTTTCTTTTCATCTAATGTAAAACGTTCATTGCCAACACCCACTCATTTATTAACAGCTAATGTGTAGTTTCTAGTATCATAAATATAAATGGACAATATAATGTTTCTGTGAAGAAATGAAAGCTTAGTTTCATGTATAAACACGAGATGTATTTTGTAAACTTACTTTAAGTACGTCGCAAAATCCTTATGGCATTTTGCGTAAAAACTAGCATAGTAACTATGAATATGTAGTTGATTAGCATTTATGTATGTGTGTGACAATAATAAAGTCATTAGTAAACTCAATTGTCAATTGATAAACTTTGTGCTTCTAGCTGCATGTTTGTGGTATGCAAAATGAAACTGCTGTGTAAACGTCATATTTATTATGAAATATAAAAATTTTTCACTTTTAGTTTTTGCTAACTTGAATGAATTAAGTTCGTTATCTTAAATGAAAGAATTTTCAAATAAACTGCTAAGGTTATCCCCTACCTATACGAGTTCCACTTTTTATTTAAAGATTCATTACAGGGAAATGATAGCAATTGCTGACAGCAATTCCATATTTGCAGTATAGTTAATTCAAATCACAAATTCGGATTTGACAAAGTCGATGTCATTTAAAGACATTAGAATTGATTCCACTAGACGAACAAAATGATACAAGATTCAACACTATGAATGCATTTAATTTTAAATTTTCACCATGCAGCAACTGTAAATTCTTCGAAGTAACATTTTATAAAAATTTTGGATATTTTGCTACCGATGTGTACACATGGTATATAAATGTAGTTTTGATGGATGGAAACCATTATGAAAACGACTTGATTATGACCGCGCTAAATTTGAGAATTTAAGCGAGCAATGTTTTTGAAATATTTGTTACTTCACTTCAAATTTTGAATATCGGAGCAAAATTTTCTGCCTATGTTAAAGATATACAGATATATAGAGTTGCAGTGAAGGTGAATGGCACCGATAGAAAGCGAGAAGTCCCAAAGAAGGTTGGCAGACAGAGTCAAAGCAATTAAACTGCACATTTTGCCCTATTACGGTATTAAATACATCCATGTCGATTGATGAGCAAGAAAATAAATTGAACGATTATATAGCAGATTTTCTACTCAAAGGTAAATTTGTGAACAAAATTGTGTATTATCATTGACTTTTCATGTAATTATTAAGGATAAAAATAATAATAAAATTTGAAATCAGCTGTTGATTTAATTCAAACCTCCCATGTTGTTATTATTTTCAAAACCGTATTTTGTACCCTCGAAGAAATTTTGGAGTACACCCTAAACTGAGGTGTTTATCATCAAGATTATGTGTGCTTTGACCTAAAAAAATTTTACATGGTTTTGTGTACAAATAATGCACAAGAATTAAGTCGATACATTAAGTGTTGTTATGGATGAAGTAACCAATCATCCGCTGAAGATGTTTGTGATTTTAAGCATATGTATTTGTATTTCTACAGTAAAGAACAGGCGTGAATGAATATCAAAATGCATTTAAAAAGCCAAAGCACTGACTGCAAATGCTTATAAGAGTCCAAGCATTGAAGTTGTTAAGGTATTGAAATTATATTGGATTATCTTTTCTTGTAAATGACTTATATGGCTCACCACCATATAAACGTCTGTGTCATACATCAAGAGATAAGTTGGTCCAATGTAAATTAAACCAACTATTTACTTGTCACTTTTAGAGTTGCATGTGAAAAGAGAATACAGTTTTAGTCTGTTACAGTACTGTATGCTGTTTTGTTTGTGATGAAATAATACAATGTTTGGTATTTTAGGACAAGTCTTTCATTACCTAAGCACAACCAGTGGTGTCTAAACTAGATCCCATCCTTCAAGATCATTGGCATATCCAAGTTTGCAAGTTTTTTCCAGCTTTCCACTACATCAATATATCATTCCATTTCTTGAAATGTTGTTTTTACCTTGTTCAGAATGTGCCAAATGAAATTTAAAGAATTTCTAAGTGAGTACAATGTTTAGTCAAACAACCTGGCTGAAAAGCTGATATGCAATAACATTTGCAAATCTTGCTGTTTTGAGAAATTCTGTTACACCATTGATGTCTCTATAAACTTGGGGCACTGTGTCACTACCTTTAAAATAATTAACTAATAGGTGACTAAAATATAGAATGCAAACAGATAACATATTATGTATATACTTAACATTTATATCATCACATATTTGTAAAAAGAGTTTCATTGGGACAATAATCTCATTGTTCTATGTAACTTGTGGTTCCTGGCAGATTTTCAGAAGTGTGTACCTTTTAGACTTTTATCATAGAATTTTATGATTGAAGGCTAAAAAAAATTGCAAAGTAATCTTCACATTGTAACTCAACCAATACCTTCAATACTCAGTAACATAAGGCCCTCGTTGGCCTTTCCGTCGTCTTCGTGAAAACAGCTACTTACATTATTTTGCATGGAAATTTCAGCGAATACATAATTAATTTATGTGCGTTCCGTTTTTTGGGACACCTGTAGATGGACCTCTTCTGGTATCAGTTACTCTTCCTATGATAGAATTTTGTTCTTTTTATAGACAACGCAGGAAATGTTGATTAAGCCATTACTGCGCAGGTGCGTACGTACGTAGACGATCCTTTAAGTCTGTGAATGTGACATATTTTAACGAGCTCATTGATTTGTTCTCTGACGTACAGAGAATTTGTTCCTGAAAGTGAAATTTGTTTTAATAATTGTAAAACACTTTACTGTCTCCGAGATCTTGTATTTTTAACAAAGACTACGTACGATGTGTTGATCTTTGCTAGGTGACAGCGTACATAACAGAGCTTCAAGCATCAGGATCAGTGACTGACAACATGTCTGTTAAGTCAAGTTTAGAATGAACTGTTATAATTTGTGTTTGTCAACAACCATATGTGATGTTTTGTCTTCCAGAGTGGCGGACGCTGAAGGAGGGAGAAAGTCACTATCTTACGTACGTATATTGATAATTTTATATTTGATAAAGAATGAGTAACACAACGAGTTACGACACCATGTAAATTGATCGAAATGATTTGACAAACCTCTCCCCAACCCTCTCCGTAGAAAATTTAGTCAATTGACCAGAACTATTTTCCAAAATATATAACCGTTCATTGCTAAGAAGTGTTGTTTTATTTGTTTATAAAACACAGAGTTTTATTTTTACTTTTAGATTGCCTTTGTCAAATCTCTCTTGTAAAATCAATAGCTCAGGTAGGATAATTGTCAGTTGTGGTTTACCATGCCTCAAAAGCAAGAGTAAAACTGTGTTCATTATCTTTTTTATTAAGTTATCACACAGGAAAGACACCATAGCAAACAGCTATCTCCAAGTAATGGTTAAAATACAGAAATCTAAATAACGATCTGTTGTCATAGTTGCGTTTTAGCTAAAAGTACACTATAAAGATTATGAAGTAGTTGAAGATATTAAGTCAATAATTAAATTAGTAAAGCCTGCTCCCCAGTCACCCCATAACCCGCGCATACTTGTTCTTGATATCCCAATTGCAAAATTCTTCTTCATACTTTATGTAAATATCGTAATATCAGAGAACGTAAGTATGGATAAAATAGAAAGTTTTATTTATAGATTTTGAAATATGAGCCAACAAAACTTCTACTACAATCTGTGTCGTTATTTCGCTATGAAACTTTACAAAAACTTCGCTCGTGAATTGCTCGTGTCAAAGTATGAGAGCTCCAAAACCTGGAGAGAGGTTTGTCATTCATATTACGTAAAGTCTTGTTCTTATCCAAAACTCACATAGCCACAATCACCCTCACCACCATTATCTTTATCACACATTAACCCTCACCATCATTTTTTATCCCAAACCATCATTACCATAATCACCCTCACCACGTCCTTTATCCACATTACTCATTTCCATTATCCGTTCCTACTTAGAGTGATACCCATGACTGGATCACCGCTAACCAATGATGTTGCGCCCTTGGACAACAATGCTTCGAAGGGCATCATAGTATTAACAGGTGGTAAGGTTAGTGATTTCATTTTAGTGGCTACCTTTTTGATTCCTAGTATGAATTGTGTTTTATTTAAGAAATAAAAGAAGTTTACTGTGCTTGCACAGGCTTATGCAAACCGAAGATTCGTTTGGGAGAACTTGAGAGCAGATCAGTGCAAGCCCGAGACCGAAGATCGAGAGTTGCACATGCTCGAGAGTTCTTACAAACGTCTTCTAGGTTTGCACAAGTCAGTGTAAACACGGAAAATATCTTTTATTTCTTTTATAAAATAACAATATTGCGAAACAGACGAACATTTTAATTTTTCCTCTAAAATGTATTCATGATCTATTTGCAAATTCTCATTGACTGGTTGATTGTTATGATTGATTTGATTGGTAGAGCTTAGACGTGTTTTGCACAGGCTAATGCAAACACAGCTCTAGACCAATCAGCACACGTGTTTCATTGTGTATATTTTATTATGTTTGATGAAAGACCGCCGTTGTATGACAGAAGTACAAAGACTCTCATACACACGGGAATTCTAAAATTTTAGACACCGTACCTAATCATTGGAGCATATAAGTACTAGACATTTCTTCATACCAACCTACATGAAATTTGAATTTTTGAAATATTTTAGATGAGTAACTGCTAGTGATTTGGTCAACTACCTGCAAATTAGTAAGGGTAGAGCACGATCATTTGTGCTCTATTGGATTGAGAGACCCTCGCATTAGATAAAATTTCACTCACTCGGGCACCGTCTTAGAACATTGCATGGCCAAAGCCAGAAGGGATTGCTTATGGTACTGAATTTAAGATGCTGTATTCTTATACAAGTATCTTTAGTTTACAGCTGATGATTGTTTTCAACGAGTATTTGAGATGTGTTCCATGTAAAGGCAGGTTTTAGTTCAAAACCTCTCGAAAGTTATAAGCCAGGGGGACATTGGATTGGTATAACTCACAACCTGTTAATTTTAACACGTTCTATAAATATTTACCAGCAATGTGTGAGGTACATTGCATTGACATGAAAGGTTGAGGATTTTCAAATGATTTTGGAAAGGTTACGTGCCCAACAACCCTCTAAGAAAGGAACATTTTCAGTGAAGAACAAACAATAATGTCTCGGACTGATTATCGAAGCACATCATTGTTAGATGATGCAAAAGGCCAAGTTCTACTCTGGTTATGTCAGTTTTAAAAGCACTTCAACAACCTGCTCCAGTGGATGTTTCAAGTCCAAAGAAAATTGAGGTAGATAAGAAGAAAGAAGCATGTGTTAGTACGACAAATACACGACGTACTTTAAAAGTTATTGAACATGGGAAAACACGTATGTTGTTTCATTTTATGTAATACACATGTGTTTGCTTTTAACTTTGTGAGCAATTATTAGTTTTTCCAATTTTTCGTAAGAGATATTTTAATTTTAACATGAATATATTTACATCATCGAGATGCGTTAGAAACGCGTTAAATTTCATCACCTTGTTAGTTATTCAGAGATGAAATGTAATGTGGAGTTACGACAGTCATTAGTATCCTTTAACCTCATTAATATTTTCTATTTAGAGGATACTAATAAGGAAGTGAACAATAAAAAAACAATATCTTGTTAGTATTCTCTATATATGGATTAAAATGAGATTTAGTGAATACCATTAAGCTTTAATTGTATTCCATTGTTTTCACTCTATCTCGGCATTTTCCTTGAGCTTTAAAGCTTACATCACTTCTTGAACTTTAGCCACTATGCCATATGGAACATCAAAATACTGGACGCTGATTGGCCGAGTGACTTTGGCTGTGTTCTAATTCTAGATATCTGTAGATATGACGTCATTACTACGAAAAATTTTTCTACCATTATTGACTGACGCCATTAAAAGCCGAATTTGAAAAAATCAAATAAAGTGATGTTTACCACAGTTTCTAAAACAATAAGCGAAAGATTTCGAACAAAATTGATGCAGAAAACACTAAAAAAGCGACGAAGCTGGTTTCGAACATATTTACAGCATATTTAAACAAGAAGAACTCGAAAAAACCGTTTGACAATTACAACTAAGGGCAGGTTTCGAAATGTTTTACATTGATGAGTGTAAATAATATTTCAGTTTGTTGAGGTGAATGATAAAACAATTATTCAATTCGTTTTCGCATGATATCAACAATTATTCATACCTCTGTCAACGTTATCCGTCCCAGCTTTGCTTCGGCAGATGACATTGACCTCGGTCTTAATAATTCTAGATATCATGCTCAACTTCATCTAATAACTGTTCATTATTTAAATATTAACTTGCTAAACTGAGGGACATTTTGCTGGTATATTTGTGTGTTATAATCTTTTCGTCCGAGGAATATTAAATTTCACTGTGTAGCACAAATCACTGTGACTGTCCCACTATCTTATAATGGTTTAAATGACAGAAAAATTACAGTCCATTGAAATGAAAAATATCAAATGTAGCCAAAACGCAAAACAAAAAATGAAAGCCAAAATGTACTTTTTGCCGTACAAAACCAGGTTACAAACCCTAAACATGGCGACTGTATTATTGATGACGTCACGTTCATATCAAGAATACAAAGTTCCAGACATAAAATTTCTTCGTTATTTTATTGTCTAAGCGGAAACTGGAAAGGTGGCAAAATTTTCAATCTGAAGTTGCATTAACAATTTGTCATAAGTCATTTTAGCCAGTAAAAAGCAAGAAACTTATCACGTGCTTTCGTACGAGTATACACGTCGTAGGTGGTCAAAATACAGTACACCAACAGCTAATGGTGTAGTTTCCTCATTCTGGTAATTTTACCATGCATATAAAGTATGTCACGTTTTGAATTTTGTTGCGTATAGTAATAATGGCAGTACTAACGAAAATTGATATCCAGTGTGGTGTAGTCTTAAGAATTGATTGAATGTCGGTGTTATTAGGGTAAACCTACCACTAGTAGGTGCCCCTAGTGCGCATGTGTGAACGCTACTTATAAAACATATTCACGTAGGGTGACTCGCTTTCTAGGATAACCCTTCTGCTGGGGTTACCGTACCTCCATGTAAATAGTCTCTAAGCAAATTGCTTTTGTATATTTCATGGGAAATAGTCAAACAAATTCAACGCATAATTTAATAATGATGTGAGCAAAGCCATGTAATATATTTGAAAAATGCCATTTATATAAATAACATGTAAATATATAATTCTTAATTGGTGACCAAAGTTTGTGATAGACATGTGCTGTATATAGTATTTTATGATACAACTTGCAATATACAGTATATATATCATTAAAGTGAATCAGTGGAGAAATAATTTCTCAACAGGCTTTAAAGGTTTACACATTTAACTTTACATATTTATCATCCAGTGTAAGCTACAAGAATTTTTAGTAAGTTATAACGTTTGATGCACGTTTTCTTACTTATACATACTTTTGTCCAAAAGGTAAAACTTCGGCTATGGACGCATATCGTGGCTCATTCATTGAAGGAAGATATTTCCATGAAGAACTACATCCCATTTTGAAACACTCCACTGAATTAAGATCTTTACCTTTATCATTCAAACCTCCCATGACAACAATTGTATCACCAGTTATAACTGCACAACAAAAGGATCTCTTTTCCAACATGGATGGTAAGACTGTAATCTTACCTGTCTTAGTGTCATACATGATAACACTGTTCAACCTTTCTCTTCCATCCCAACCTCCAAGAAGAACAACTTGATCTCTCCATTGAACTGTTGCCATTGCACACAATGGATGAGGTAATGGAGGCATTTCCTTAAATGTAAGAGTCCTTGGATCAAATTCCAAAACACTGGACAAAACTTTGTCATCTTTTCCCTCTCCTCCAAAAATAAGAACTTTATCATCAACAACAACAGCTCCATGACACAAACGTAGTTCAGGCATATGACACAACTCTTTCAAAACATAAGATGTTGTACCTGTAATTTTTATTTCACTGATCAAATCTAATGGTCCTTTACCAGGAATGTATCCTCCTCCAATGTGAAAGATTTGTTGTTTATAAACAACAGTTTGATGACCATAACATTCATAAGGAAGCTTTGTGGGAAATTTTCTCCATGTCAAAGGAAACTGTTTTATATTCAATGTCTCCATTGACTTGCAGCCCACTCCTCCAACAACAAATAAATTATCATTATAAATAAATGATGAAGCCTCACTGTGTTCATTTTCCATTGATGCAATATTAAACCATTTCTCCTCCTTCCATGAAAATATTTCAACACTCTTTGAAGAACCACGTGAGTAACCTCCAGCAACCAAAATATCACCTTTTACAGAGTTCATCACCATTTCAGTTGGTGATGTCAATGTTTGAACATGTTGTTCATTTATATTCATCTTTTCCAACATTTGAAATATCATGGCTTTCATTTCTTTCATTTCTTTGGTCACAGTAGAAAGATTTTGTTGATTATCTTTTATTTCTTTCCTTGATTCCATCATTTCTTTGGTCACTGTAGAAAGATTTTGTTGAACATCTTTTATTTCTTTCCTTGATTCCATCATTTCTTTGGTCACTGTAGAAAGATTTTGTTGAACATCTTTTATTTCTTTCCTTGATTCCATCATTTCTTTGGTCACTGTAGAAAGATTTTGTTCGACATTTTCTACTACAGATTCCATCATTTCTTTATACTGAGATGTCAATGGTTTCACGGAATCTTTTACTTCAAAAAATTTTTCGTCTATTTTCCTGCTTAAGTTGTTCATTTGCATTTCCATTTTGTCTTCAAAACTTCGTTGAAACATTTCGCTAATCTCTCGAAAGTCGTGAGAAGCAATCTTTCTGTATTCACATAATTCAGTTTCATGTTTAATCTTGTCTCGTTTGTTTATTTCCAGACCACAACGTTCATTAGAACACAACACTGGAGCAAAATCACAATTTTCAACATGTCTTTCAAGATCTTCGACATTTATAAATTCAGGACAACCACGACTGGCGTAGTCGCAGTTGATCTTTAACTTTGAAATCACGTTATTTATAACACGCGCTGGATGAAGCGTAGCTACAGTTAAATCATCTTGACATTGAGGACATCTTTGTGCATTAACTCGTAGATGTTCTTCAATACATTCACGGCAAAAACTGTGTTGATTATGGCACATTCTGGCATCTTTCATGACATTCAGACAAATTGAACAGTAAAAATTTTCATCAACAACAATCTTAAATCTCGATTCTTCATATCCACTTTCGTAAACATTAGGACGACAAGCCATTTCATACGTCTTCCTATACAATTTAATGCTAAAATTAATACAGGAGTTGACGAAATTTTGTTTATCACTAAATGTTGAAGCTAAAAGATAGGTTAAAATTTTCAATCGACGTTTGATAAACACGGAAGCTGAAAGCAAAGCAAAACAACGCCTAGTTTTATATTTTAACATATTTATGTTCAGCAAAACAAAGACAAAAGATAAAACAAAATAATGCAATGAAGCACATCAACAAAAAAAACACAACTGAGGTCAAAGTTTCTAAGGTCAAAGAAGTGGAGCTTTAGTCAATCACATAAGGCAGTTCGTTCTCGGTGTGAAAACATCCTAATTCTTTGTTTGCAATCACGTGATTTATTGCTTCAAAATGTTTTTCCGGCTTTCAAGTGAAGGGCTAAAGAACTAAGATGGCGGCCAATGCTACTATAACTAAGCCAACAGCAACAACGAAAAATTTAGTATCCGAGTACTTTTTATCTCTTCAACCAAAGGCAAAGTCAAGATACTAAGAGAAGCTTTCCTTATGTGATGGACTGGATCCATATTCTCTAAAAAAGAGTGACTTTTTAACCGATCATAACAATTTCCCTAACTTGCAGTTTCCTGACATTTCAAATTATTTGGTCGTTCAAACTTCATTTTATACGAAGAAACAAATGAAAGCATATAAGTCTTGAAGCTTACAACTTTTTTCTTTGTGGTTGGGTCCATGAAGTAAAATCAAGACGTGTAATGGACAACAACAATTGCCTTGTTTTTGCGAGAATAAGTACATTTTGTTCCATTACAATTTGCAAGTAAACGATTGCTAGTTGTTGTTGATTTGAGTTAGTTCTTATTACTTTAATATATCTAGCATTTGTTTTAAGACAAATTTAGGACTCCTATTCTTTTTTACTAAGATCAACCACTCACAAAGATCAACAGCAACTCCTTTAAAAGCTTGGGTCATTCTCAAAATGACGGCGAAGTTCTTACTGCTCACTGTAATTGCATGGCTGGGTTAGAAAGTGTTTTGTTTGTCAAATTTTTCGTGCATTTGTGTTTTGAATTACAAAAAGATCAAGCACTGTTGTAGATATATCTAAACTTAAAGATGGCATTATATTTATAACAAACATTGCTCTAGCCATCAAGTAGCAATAAATATATCAAAAGTTTTAGTTAAACAGATGAAGATGTTTATTAATAAAATAGATGGAGATGTTTCTTACATGTTGCTCTTAAAGTTTTCAATTTTAGGGACTATTGTTTTACTCCACAGGGACTACAGATTGAGATAAATTAGTTAAAGCACAACATATGACTGCTATCTTATCAATTACTGATTGTACTTCGCCAGGTTTTTTGTACATGTACTCTATCGGAAGAGCACCACTTTGAAGAACTTGGTACTTTCTACGAACCAGTCCTATCACCCTTTCAACATGTATTCTTACATTTGCAATTTTCGGTCTCTTCCACTTCATATGGTGATAACTGTGTTTTCCCTTTTGTAAATGCTGGTGTTTTCAATGAAGCACAATAAAGCCCAACACTCTTCACAATGTTAAAACCTCTATCAGCAAGAACAACATCTCCAGGTAATAAATTGTCCAAAATACCACTAGCTTCAGTTAATTGTTTGTCACTCACATGCATGATGGTAACAATTTTGTGAAAATTCTTGATGCCGTGGAGCATGATATTCCAAACCTGTAAGGTAAATCCTGTAGTGGAAGAATTAATTTCAATCTCATCAGAACCAAAAGTATTTGCTCGAAATTTTCCAAAGAAGATCTCTTCATATGTGTTATAAAGGGTTCACAAAGGTTGAAAACTTGTAATAGTACCAGGAAGTTTGGCAGCCCAGTGTAAAACTAGGTCTTGTCATTATCCTTTTCAAAGCTATTAGTGCTTCAAGGGCTTTCTCTTTAAGTGTGCATAGTTCCTCATTGCATCTCTTTATGTCTTCTTCCATTGACTTTAAATAGTTGACTGTTAGGTCTGTTTGGCACTCTACATGTTGAACCTATCTTTCAGTCTGGCATTCAGCATGGTTGATATTTGACTCTATTGAAGCAAAATTATGAATAAGTACAAAGTTTTTCGAAAAGCAAATATAAAAATACTTTTACCTTATTGTAAATATAAGTTATTTTCTCCTGGGTGTTCATGTTCTTGATGGACGTTAGAGTCCAGTCGAGCCAGCTTTAGTAAATCAAGGAGGGCAACGGCTGCTTCGGAATGGCGTCGTTTAAGGTCTCGCTTTTTGGTCCGATCGTTTCTTTTAATGGCACTTTCACGAATAGGTTTTAATTTCTGGTGACCCAATTTAAGTGTAGGAGCCCAATCAACGTCGTGTTCGTCGTAGACATTGCTTGGACGACCTTGGAAACAAGAAAATTATGAATGTAAACAATTATATTCATAGAATCAATAGACATTTTGCAAGGCGCTTCAGTTCAAACTCTTTCCCAATTGCTTTTAATATTGAATTACAAAGTTCGTCTACGCACCTTTAACAAAATGTTCACCACATACGCGAGCATGGGGGGCTTTCGATACCTTTCGAGGACAATAAAAGGTTACTGAGCCACTTTTCACGACGTCTTTTTGTTAGTTTTTTTAATGTTTCCCCCCTTTATGGAGAATTTCTTTCGGTATCCTATAATAGCCTTTATCCTTTTCTCGATTAGCTCGATTAGAGCAAGTAAAAACTGAACAGCAATCCGGCATATTTGAATAAAGAACACATGAAGGGCAATCACGCTTATGATATAATCTATTTACCTGCCCTTCAGCTGGAAATATGAATACGTAATGACAGTGGAAATACGGGAAGTGACGTCTATTGCAAACAAAGAATTAAAGGTTATTTGTTGTAGTAAAATTACGTCTTTTCTTATAATGCAGAATTAACGTTAATCCAAGACGATTGTTACGTTTTCAGTTCAAAACTACATTTGTTTAGTCTGAATCACTGGTTGAAATTCTGAAACTCGTTCGTTTTGGGTGGCACCCTAAGTTCATTGCATTTGTTTCTCTGACTGTCAATATTTCTGATCATTTTAGATACGATGATCATATATTTATATTACAAGGAAACATGTTTCAAGACACAAGTAAAACATATTTCACAAAGATTGTTGAATCCGATTTGCAAATTAAAAGTTTAGACATCTTTTGTTACTATGTTTTAACAAATAAATTATTGATAACATTCAAAATGCTAAATGGAACTGACAAAAGGTTGCAAGAGTGGGAAAAATGACCATGTTAAGAATACCTTAGGTGATGAGAGATTCCTTTCCTCGCAGTTAGCCTGCAGTTGGCCACTTATCGTCGATTTCAGTTAACTTTTTAAATGGCGGTTGCCAAGTTACTTTCTAATGTTGCCAACTACATTTCCAAATATGGAATATTCGTTATGAACTTGTCAACTTGAGTTGACAAGTTGTGTAAAGTACTGAAGTTGTGAACTTGAGTACTGAAGTTATGAACCAAAGTTGCGAAGTACTGGCAAACGCGAAAGGTCTGCGGGAGTTTCTATTTCTGCGGGAATTTTATTTTTGAAGAACTGGCGCAAAATTCTAATATCGCGAAGAAGTTTTGGTCTGTTCATTTTATATTCAGCATTAATTTTCATCATCTGGGGGTTAATGCTTTTATAAATTGGTGCTCACTCTGGCTTTGAAAATTATTAATACCATTTAATTCTTCTTGGAGTTGCTTAATAGTCTCGTGTTTTTGTTTTATCTTAAACTTCAATCGATTTATGTCCGCAGAATATTCGGGATGTTTGTCTTTAAGTCCACAATAAGTAAACGCGGAACATTTTTCAAGAATACACGGTTTAGTTTGTGTGTTTCTGTGACCTCGGTGGTGGCAGTTGCTGCAGATGACTTTGTAATTAGCAATCATTGGTAATTCAGGAACATTTAAATTCATTGATTCTAATTGCACGTTCATCTCTTCCAAATCTTGTTTGTTGTGATGAATTGAGTCTTCGATTGTCCTTCGCCGATTTTACAATGAACGTTTAGCGGGTATACTTGTATCCTATTTCAGATAGTTAAACGCAACATTATAAATTTATACATTTATTTTATTGTGACTACAAAACAATGACCCACGACAGTATTCAGTTTTAAGAAATATGTCACTTTACGACCTACCTCGTACGAAGCAGATGGATTTTCATCCACGTCAAGACAACTTTTTGATTGAGATTTTGAAAGTTTTAATAATGGTGACTGCTCCCGCAGCAAATCGAGATGAAATTCTAAAACTTTCCTTGCCCAAGAGGCAAGTTCGTATTCTTTTGACCAAGATTTTTCCAATTTCAGCGACAGTCGTGAAGAAAATTCATTTTCTTTCAAAGCTTTTTCTATTACTTCATGACTTTGTTTCCCAATTTTATCCTTAAAACTATTAAGAAACTCCTCTAATTCATCTGCCATTATCAGTGAACAATTTATTTAGCTTTTACTTGCCTACAACACAGAACTTTCGCGTTTGCCAGTACTTCGCAACTTTAGTTCACAACTTCAGTACTCAAGTTCACAACTTCAGTACTCAAGTTCACAACTTCAGTACTCAAGTACACAACTTGTCAATTCAAGTTGACAAGTTCATAACGAATATTCCATATTTGGAAATGTAGTTGGCAACATTAGAAAGTAACTTGGCAACCGCCATTTGAAAAGTTAACTGAAATCGACGATAATTAGACTTTCTTTTCTGCAAGTTTCTTCCTTTGTCCCAGACCACAAGTAGTGAATCTTTAAAATAGTTTAGGCCGTAACTAATGGGTTCTATTGAATTACAGGTCAGTGGCAGGAACTAGAGGCCGTAGCCACCCCAGTGCACTACACCTCCATGTGCCCATACATCCATAAGGTCTCCATGTTATTAACTGTCACTGAATCACATGTTTGTTTCTTTGTACTTCGATGTCTCAGTTACCTGCATTGGCAAAGTTTAAGGTAGGTAGGCTCTATATTTGTGCTTTTTGTGTTGTACAAAATGTTAACGTTTGTTCAATTGCCTATAATATCAACAGTGCGAGTTTGTTTTTCTTTAATGTGCCCCCTTCCTTTAAACTTTCTGGTTGGGAATTACTACCCTATTCCTCGACCTAGGTTAATTTACTGAAACCTCGATATATCTTCATTTCATGGAAACAAATTTGGTACACCGATGTCATTTCTACGTGTTATAACTCTCAAACAATGAACATGCTCACGTAAACATGCATAATTACAAAATCATATAGTTACATACTAGATACCTTCTTTAATTCAGAAAGAACGGATACAGACGATTTCGTCACATTAATTATTATACATTGTATATTCGTACTTTATCCTTAAAATATTCATCAAATGTGCGGATAAAATTGTCATAAGGGTCAAATTTTCTATTACTGGGGAGTGAGAATGAGTTTTGCTGATGAAATATTTGTTAAAAGACAGCAACTGAAGCACTTCTCGACTGTTTAACTCATACTGATGGCACAAAGGTATTAGTTTTAATTTGTATGAATGTACTTGGTAGTGTGTTTGATTAATAAAAGTAGATTTAAACCTTTTCGCTTCTTTGTTCAGGTTTTAACAAGCAACTTGACTTGTGGGGACAAAGTCTGTGTAGTAATTGGTAAAGTTGATGGTTATTGCATAGATACAAGTATTGACGACAAGATATATCATGTAGCAGACAACTTGTACATTTCTTCACAAGATGGAGCTTGTAATCTTGAACATTTAAGGCTGCAAAAAATTACTCATATTGTTAATGTTGCCACAGGAATTGTAAATCAATTTCCAAATGTGAGTATAACTTAGATGGTGGATTTCAAATTTTAGCCTAGGCTCTTGTGTTTATGTCATATTTTGATTTTCTCTCTCAGGGTTTCAGTACAAAATGGTAGAAATTTTGGATTTACCTGACACAAGAATAGATCAGAATTTTGCTGAGCTGTCCTCATTCATTGAAAAGGGACTGGAGGATGGAAAGGTTTTGGTTCATTGGTAAGTGTAAAATGGCGATGGCCATTGATATTCTAAATGTGTGTATTGTGAAGGTTATTATGGTAAGTTTTAGGTTTTCATGTGAATGAATTAAACTTTGAATATTTTATTAGTACATGTTGATGTTTTAACATACTTAGCAATAATTATTTACTTTGAACTTGGCTCAAATATGACTACATCTGAGGATGTGAAAACATCAGTCAACATCAACTGAATTAACCTGAATGATCAACACATACAAACATGTAGGTTTTGCTACAGGCTTGTCAACACAATTTATGTTCTTATGGAGGATATTAATTTGATTACAAAAAACCAAATGCTGAATCAGCATGTTCACTGTTAACTTGTTGAAATGTTAATTGAAGGCTGTGTTTCACATTTGAGGCATACGTAACTTAAAGATGATGGCCATTAAACTAAAAATTGTTGCTTATGCAGCAAAAATTTTGTAGCCAATGAAATGATTTTCCTTTAAATGTCCAGCAAAGCAGGAGTGTCCAGGTCTTGACTGTTGTCATTGCTTACCTTATGAAATCTAACAATATTGGGTTAGATGATGCATTTCATTTGGTAAAGAAAGCATGACCAACAGCAAAGCCTAATGAAGGTTTTTGGAGGCAACTGAAGGAAAATCATTTATTATTAAGTCAATCAAACACTCCAAGTGATGGAAGAACAAACAAATAATGGTAAACCATTCTTATATGATGGTTGAATATGCACATGAGCAGAGTGAAAGCACCAAAATTAATGGCGAACCATTCCTGTATGGTGCTACAACATGCACATGAGCCATGTGAAATGAAGAACAAAATATAAAGGTAAACCATTCTTGTATGGTGCTACAACATGCACTTGAGCCATGTGAAATGAAGAACAAAATATAAAGGTGAACCATTCATGTATGGTGCTACAACATGCACTTGAAATGAAGAACAAAATATAATGGTGAACAATTCCTTAATGGTAATAGAATACAAAGCTAAACTAAACAATGTAACACAATAAGGTTATTGTATATAATGTTTAATGTTTCCTGAAATCCAATAGTCATTGAAATTGCTGTTTTTATATACTTAGTAAACTCAACTTATAACATAACCCTCCCTTGGCTAACTTTATTTTTAGAATTGGGTAGAAAAGATACAAGGTGAATATGAAAAACCATAATAGTCTTTGACATAATGATCTATTTAAGTTCTAATATTTTATCTTTATAAATCTTCAGCTGGAGAGCACAATCTGATTGCTTTCTTTGGCAAATGTTATCACCTGTCATGATTAATCTGTATAAAAATTTCCATTGTTGGGTCAATGGATTTTGCAATTTGCATGCAGGTTGTGTTTCCCGAGGGAGGGGGGTGATAAAGAAGTGTTTCCATGGCAACTTTCCAGCATTATTGATGTGTCCAACAATTGATATAGGTAAGAAAGTTCTATGTGAGACAACATTAACTTTCTTGTTTAAATTCATCCCTGATGTTTGCGTTGGTGTTTTTATATTTTTGTGATACCTGTCCACATCAAACTTATCATCACACACCATAAACAGTTCAATGTTCTTTGTTTATATAGAGCCCTCCAATGCGATTCAATGTTTCTATGGTAACTGCTATGCAGAATCTGTTCAAGTTTTGAGGGAATCAGGAAAAGTAACAGGTCTTCTGTTTAAACTTGTGGGAGAAGGTATGGATGACGCTAACACTCAGTATGATCTCATCATCTTTACTCAACATTGTCCCACCCCTTCACTCAACGTTGCTCATTACCTCATCTCCTTTACTCAATATCACCTCGCTCTTACATAGTCATTATTTAATTTCCATCACGTTGTTCAGTGAATATATTTCAGTACTTTTCATTTAAACATTTTTCATCACCTTTTCCCATTTCTATACGTTAAAAATTTCTTCCTTCAGGAAACAGCTTCGGTACATTACCAGACCTGAATAAAAAAGTTGTTGAAAGAACGGTTTCATTTGGAGACACGTGTCAGGTACGTAGACTTAATGATTTTGCAACAAATGTTTCTTCTTTTATTCCAATAGTATAGATCTGTTGTAGGTAGGTAAATAAATATACTGAACTGACGTGTTTTGGGGAGTGTGCTAGAATAGGCCACCACAACCTGGAACGACAAAGATAACGAGATATATATATATTTTTACATGTTTGCAAATGTCGATCGTCCAGGTTAGTATAGTCCTGAAAAGGACTGTTTTTGTTGTTGTTGACTGACGTTTCGACAATCTTAGCGGTAGTCATCTTCAGAGTAATTTTGACAACCTTAGCGGTAGTCATCTTCAGAGCCATTTTGACTCTGAAAATGACTACCGCAAAGGTTGTCGAAACGTCAGTCAACAACAACAAAAACAGTCCTTCTCAGGAATATACCAACCTGGACGATCGACGTTTACAAACATGTAACGATACTCCGGGTTCAAACCATTTACTTTATATATATATTTTATTCGTTATCGCCCTCCTCTCTTCTGCCACCCGTGAAAGATCCCCTTCATTTTATAATAGACATTTTTTTAAAGTTCTCTTTGTCTGTTTTCTTTGAAAAACACTATTATTGCAAGTGGAACCAGGAAGACTGGGGTCTAAACTTTTATAGCTACTGAAAAAGAATATTTTGTACAAAATTTTCCATTTCAGGATGTCATGACGTGTTTTGGTTCACCTTGTAAAGTATTTTATAAAGCTGAAGATAAGGTGAATGTTTAGCAAAAGTTTCAGTAGAGGATTTGACTTAAGAAGCGTTTTTAGTTAGCATTCAAGCAGTTCATTTAGTTGCAAGACGTCTATCAGACGTCTATTTTTGCTATTGTAGAGAAAAATGCGAATTTTAATCTCGGACGTACAATCGGTTGTCCATACCTTCTCGTATTATTTTGTTTATTTGACTATAACTCTGTTTCCAATATCGCTGTTTTTTATTACAACGTCTTACCTTATTACAACTGATTAATAATTTTAATGTTTTTTATGTGCATTACAGCAATATCTTCTTCTCCATCTTTTCTCTAGATGCGTATCCATTCTCTATACATACAAACTTAATTAATCAAATAGATCCTTCTATTTCTTCAACTAATTTTACACTTGGCGTGGTAAGTCATGAATTTTATTCTTTGGCTTTTTCTACCTATTCTGTAGTGTTGTGTTGATAAAGTTATGCCTGATTGCAGGCTATATGCATAAGCTCGGGAAACAGGGATAAAACAAGGCATGAATTGAGCCCCGAGGTGCAAAAAGTGAAGAGCGTATTTTTTGTACAATGTCTTTTGTTTAATAAATATTTGTTATAACAACGGGAGTTTGGTGTTCTGTAACAATTCGGAACAGAGTACATTTTTCTTGATTTCTTTCATTCTTAATTACCTATCTATTATTTGAGACAATAGTCTTCTTCATTCCCATAATTCCATGCATCATAAATAAAAAGGAACATAACAGCAAAAGAAATCATATTTTCCTGATTATTGGCGTAGATAAAACAAAATGGGCAGAATTGTATCAGGAGCTTGGACTTTATTATTGGTAGCTTCTTTTCTTCATGAAAGCAGTGCACTTTCTGCTCAGACATGCAAAAATATTACATCCTTTAAAGAAAAGTGTTAGAATCCTGATTTTATATTTGTCAAAAATCAAATTGTTCTTAAGGGCGAACTCGATGTTAAATTCGAGACTAGTGGACAAAATTTCTCTTGGTATTGTGGAAGCTCGAGAAGAGAAGTGGTTTTGGACAAACCGGCAAATAAAGCACGAGTGTATTATCGAAAAATGAAGACGTAGAAATATTCATTGAAGATTGTCCCCAGGTTAAGTCTAAAAATTCAGTGTTACAGCTGGTAAAAGTGTTTGTTACGACGAAAGTTTTCCTATGCGTGTCCTGGGATAGAAGGAAAAAGTCATCCTTGCAGTTATGAACTAACAATTAACAAAAACAACTAAAGTATCTCAGGTATCTGTCGGATTGACCCTGAAAATCGTAGCAAAATTCAAAATATCTTTTCTGCATCAAGGACACAAAAATCGTACACACTTATGAGTACCAAGAGAAATGGTACTTTGTCGTACCTGCTGGATATACGTTTTGCTCATATAGAAAAGCCACAATTAGTTTTGGAAATCAGTCATACTACTGTTCCGGAACAGACTTCAAATTTGTTAAGTTTGGTACTATTTGCTCGGGGAATAGATTATGTAATAAAAAAGAAAGGTCATGTTTCCATGACGAACACAACATCAGTAACAGGCCAAATTTTCATTTCGCTTTCTGTTTTATCATACTCTGTGTTTTCTTTTCATCTAATGTAAAACGTTCATTGCCAACACCCACTCATTTATTAACAGCTAATGTGTAGTTTCTAGTATCATAAATATAAATGGACAATATAATGTTTCTGTGAAGAAATGAAAGCTTAGTTTCATGTATAAACACGAGATGTATTTTGTAAACTTACTTTAAGTACGTCGCAAAATCCTTATGGCATTTTGCGTAAAAACTAGTATAGTAACTATGAATATGTAGTTGATTAGCATTTATGTATGTGTGTGACAATAATAAAGTCATTAGTAAACTCAATTGTCAATTGATAAACTTTGTGCTTCTAGCTGCATGTTTGTGGTATGCAAAATGAAACTGCTGTGTAAACGTCATATTTATTATGAAATATAAAAATTTTTCACTTTTAGTTTTTGCTAACTTGAATGAATTAAGTTCGTTATCTTAAATGAAAGATTTTTCAAATAAACTGCTAAGGTTATCCCCTACCTATACGAGTTCCACTTTTTATTAAAAGATTCATTACAGGAAATGATAGCAATTGCTGATAGCAATTCCATATTTGCAGTATAGTTAATTCAAATCACAAATTCGGATTTGACAAAGTCGATGTCATTTAAAGACATTAGAATTGATTCCACTAGACGAACAAAATGATACAAGATTCAACACTATGAATGCATTTAATTTTAAATCTTCACCATGCAGCAACTGTAAATTCTTCGAAGTAACATTTTATAAAAATTTTGGATATTTTGCTACCGATGTGTACACATGGTATGCAGCCAAATTGATCAGGTCCTAGTCTTTCTCCCGTACACCGTGATATAAATGTAGTTTTGATGGATGGAAACCATTATGAAAACGACTTGATTATGACCGCGCTAAATTTGAGAATTTAAGCGAGCAATGTTTTTGAAATATTTGTTACTTCACTTCAAATTTTGAATATCGGAGCAAAATTTTCTTCTTATGTTAAAGATATATAGATATATAGAGTTGTAGTGATGGTGAATGGCACCGAAAAGATAGCGAGAAGTCCCAAAGAAGGTTGGCAGGCAGAGTCAAAGGAATTAAACTGCACATTTTGCCCTATTACGGTATTAAATACATCCATGTCGATTGATGAGCAAGAAAATAAATTGAACGATTATATAGAAGATTTTCTACTCAAAGGTAAATTTGTGAACAAAATTGTGTATTATCATTGACTGTTCATGTAATTATTAAGGATAAAATAATAATAAAATTTGAAATCAGCTGTTGAATTCAAACCTCCCATGTTGTTATTATTTTCAAAACCGTATTTTGTACCCCGAAGAAATTTTGGAGTACACCTAAACTGAGGTGTATATCATCAAGATTATGTGTGCTTTGACCTAAAAAAATTTTACATGGTTTTGTCTACAAATAATGCACAAGAATTAAGTCGATACATTAAGTGTTGTTATGGATGAAGTAACCAATCATCCACTGAAGATGTTTGTTATTTTAAGCATATGTATTTGTATTTCTACAGTAAAGAACAGGCGTGAAAGAATATTAAAATGCATTCAAAAAGCCAAAGCACAGACTGCAAATGCTTATAAGAGTCCAAGCATTGAAGTTGTTAAGGTATTGAAATTATATTGGATTATCTTTTCTTGTAAATGACTTATATGGCTCACCACCATATAAACGTCTGTGTCATACATCAAGAGATAAGTTGGTCCAATGTAAATTAAACCAACTATTTACTTGTCACTTTTAGAGTTGCATGTGAAAAGAATACAGTTTTAGTCTGTTACGAGTACTGTATGCTGTTTTGTTTCTGATGAAATAATACAATGTTTGGTATTTTAGGACAAGTCTTTCATTACCTAAGCACAACCAGTGGTGTCTAAACTAGATCCCATCCTTCAAGATCATTGGCATATCCAAGTTTGCAAGTTTTTTTCCAGCTTTCCACTACATCAATATATCATTCCATTTCTTGAAATGTTGTTTTTTACCTTGTTCAGAATGTACGCCAAATGAAATTTAAAGAAATTCTAAGTGAGTACAATGTTTAGTCAAACAACCTGGCTGAAAAAGCTGATATGCAATAAAATTTGCAAATCTTGCTGTTTTTGAGAAATTCTGTTACACCATTGATGTCTCTATAAACTTGGGGCACTGTGTACGTACGTAGACATTCCTTTTAGTCTGTGAATGTGACATATTTGAACGAGCTCATTGATTTGTTCTCTGACGTACAGAGAATTTGTTCCTGAAAGTGAAATTTGTTTTAATAATTGTAAAACACTTTACTGTCTCCGAGATCTTGTATTTTTAACAAAGACTACGTACGATGTGTTGATCTTTGCTAGGTGACAGCGTACATAACAGAGCTTCAAGCATCAGGATCAGTGACTGACAACATGTCTGTTAAGTCAAGTTTAGAATGAACTGTTATAATTTGTGTTTGTCAACAACCATATGTGATGTTTTGTCTTCAAGAGTGGCGGACGCTGAAGGAGGGAGAAAGTCACTATCTTACGTACGTATATTGATAATTTTATATTTGATAAAGAATGAGTAACACAACGAGTTACGACACCACGTAAATTGATCGAAATGATTTGACAAACCTCTCCCCAACCCTCTCCGTAGAAAATTTAGTCAATTGACCAGAACTATTTTCCAAAATATATAACCGTTCATTGCTAAGAAGTGTTGTTTTATTTGTTTATAAAACACAGAGTTTTATTTTTACTTTTAGATTGCCTTTGTCAAATCTCTCTTGTAAAATCAATAGCTCAGGTAGGATAATTGTCAGTTGTGGTTTACCATGCCTCAAAAGCAAGAGTAAAACTGTGTTCATTATCTTTTTTATTAAGTTATCACACAGGAAAGACACCATAGCAAACAGCTATCTCCAAGTAATGGTTAAAATACAGAAATCTAAATAACGATCTGTTGTCATAGTTGCGTTTTAGCTAAAAGTACATTATAAAGATTATGAAGTAGTTGAAGATATTAAGTCAATAATTAAATTAGTAAAGCCTGCTCCCCAGTCACCCCATAACCCGCGCATACTTGTTCTTGATATCCCAATTGCAAAAATTCTTCTTCATACTTTATGTAAATATCGTAATATCAGAGAACGTATGTATGGATCAAATAGAAAGTTTTATTTATAGATTTTGAAATATGAGCCAGCAAAACTTCTAATACAATCCGTGTCGTTATTTCGCTATGAAACTTTACAAAAACTTCGCTCGTGAATTGTTCGTGTTGAAAGTATGAGAGCTCCAAAACCTGGGGAGAGGTTTGTCATTCATATTACGTAAAGTCTTGTTCTTATCCAAAACTCACATAGCCACAATCACCCTCACCACCATTATCTTTATCACACATTAACCCTCACCATCATTTTTTATCCCAAACCATCATTACCGTAATCCCCCAATCACCCTCACCACGTCCTTTATCCACATTACTCATTTTCATTATCCGTTCCTACTTAGAGTGATACCCATGACTGGATCACCGCTGACCAATGATGTTGCGCCCTTGGACAACAATGCTCCGAAGGGCATCATAGTATTAACAGGTGGTAAGGTTAGTGATTTCATTTTAGTGGCTACCTTTTTGATTCCTAGTATGAATTGTGTTTTATTTAAGAAATAAAAGATGTTTACTGTGCTTGCACAGGCTTATGCAAACCGAAGATTCGTTTGGGAGAACTTGAGAGCAGATCAGTGCAAGCCCGAGACCGAAGATCGAGAGTTGCACATGCTCGAGAGTTCTTACAAACGTCTTCTAGGTTTGCACAAGTCAGTGTAAACACGGAAAATATCTTTTATTTCTTTATAAAATAACAATATTGCGAAACAGACGAACATTTTAATTTTTCCTCTAAAACGTATTCATGATCGATTTACAAATTCTCTTTGACTGGTTGATTGTTATGATTGATTTGATTTGTAGAGCTCAGATGTGTTTTGCACAGGCTAATGCAAACATATCTCTAGACCAATCAGCGCACGCGTTTTATTGTGT